CATGCGATATCGTCAATTCGGTCACCTGTTCGCTACCGCCGCGCGCATCATCTTCCGGCTTATCCATTAATTATTGTAATAATAGTAGAATGCGTATGCACGATATTATTGTCTTTACCGGCACCGCTGTATACGATTCCGGAGCACGGCTGTCAATAAAACGTTCGCACGCTCAATGCGATATCGTATTGTACGAAATGTTGAGTGCATCGCGTAGACGATTACGACGTTCAACGACATCGAATCCCGTTCGTAATAACCCTTTCCGTTTCAACCCTTATACACGAAGGTATCTTCTTCTATTGTTCAGCGTTCGAAACATAAAAAAAAAAATACTGTGCCGCAACCGTTTCCGCTCGTTGTTCGTCGTCGGGATGATAATATATTATGTTCACGAGACGAAATTTGTTCCGTCAGACAGACGTATCGGCGGCTGTTGCACCGCTTCCGGAGGTTTATTTTACTTTCTTTTCGCTATTCGATTTATAACTCACATCGAGATGGAAAAAAATCATAACCAAAAATGTTAAAAGTAAAAGGGTACATGCATAATAATATTGAAAACAATCGAGTATTGCACGAGACCGACGTTTGCGATGCACGAAATGTAGATGAACTATACATAACGGTAATCAAGATTTTCATTTTTATGAGTTTGAATTACAGTTCTTGGTTTATTTCACATTCCGTATTGAAATATAAAAACGAAAAGTAAAATGTTTTTGCCTCAAAATATAATTTTATTTCTAATAAAATGTTTAATAAATTACCAGTTAATATTAATCAATGTACGTTTTACAAATATTATTTGTACATTGCATCAAACAAATATTTTTATAGAATATGCAATCAAAAAGTTACGTAAACATGATACTATATAGGTATCCCAAGCGATTTGGAAATAAATTATGCATCTACCTTTCATAATACATGTGATGTTTAAGTATTGAATTACAAATAAATGACACACATATGGGCGCGTATTTGTCGAATTTAATATGTAAGATGAGAAAATATACATAAAAGATTTAATTGTAATAATCAAGGACACATTTTATTCATTCATAAAAAAAAAATATATTTGAGTTTCCGGTTTGAACGTATTTCCTAAGAATGATGATGAACGACGTTTTTAGAAATCGGGTTAAATCACGGAAATACATTTATTTATTATATCATCGGTCCATTCAAAAGACCGGAATGAATAACAAAAGACTGTCGATTCCTTGTCTTTGTTACGAGCCAGACAGGGATTTTTCACAAGACAACGAATTAAGATAAAAAATAATAATGTATGTAATTCATCTAGTGTTCATAATTTAATTTGTACCCCAAGAAGTATAGACGCGCGGCCGCGACTTCCACAATTTTGTGGCGTTAGGCACAGTTATATTATTATAATAACATAAAATTATTAAACACTAGGACGCAAATAAATATTAATTTCATACTAACGATGAAAGCGAATTCGTTACGACCCAGGGACGAATAACACATCGACAGGTCACGTCACACGGATATTTGCAGTGGGTGTTATGCTTTACTCGCGTGCTGAACGTCATGATATTATGTAATCGACGTAAACACACGTATGATGATTTTTGAAAAAAAAAAAAATAGTTGTACGTTTGACAGCAATTAGACGAACGGAGTTAGTTTTATGATCTAAATACTTTGTACCGTCTATATAGGAACGTAATTCAAACGAACGAGATGATATCTTACAACTCGAACCAATGATGGTTGCGTGGGGGATGGATCGTGTTTTACGATCGCTGCGATTTCAATGAGTTTGTTTTCGCCAACCTGCAACCAAACGGTGCGCATTAATAATGCGAGTTGAGAGACATTGGAAATGGACACATTGTCCGCAGTTATTCAACCGACGCGCAAGCCCAACTCGTTATTTATAACTATACCGATGTACACAAATATTTTGTTTCGCTTTCACCGGTTCGCACCAAGATTTCCCGATGAAGTCCGGTTGACGGCGCGGTATCGTGCGCGCGTACACATACATCACAATCGCTGATCGTTACGGCTACGCAACGTATTCAATCCGTCGCAATTTGTCGATCGATAGTCGCTGATAAACATGCCTACATCACCGCCACAAGTCTCGATCGCACTGCCTTCCTCTCACGACACCCGTTGATCGCGCAGATCCGTATACAATGCACGTGTACATAGATAACTATATAATCATAGTGTATCATTATACATATAATGTGTGTGTGCGTGTGCGTGTGTATGTGCGTGCGTGTTGTTTATAGGTAATTTTACGCGCGCGCGAACGCGGAAAGACGGCGTTATTGCTGGCTGGCCGGTAAACGTGGGAATGCCGATACGGATGAAATCTGCGGTCCCACGGTAGGTCACCTGTTGCCGTCGGTCGAGTCATCCGGACCACCGCAAGTCGTGTGCACCGATACGCCCTACGCCGCTGCCGCCGTTTAAAGAAGGGTTTTGCAACCATTCACTGTGACATGAAATTAGTGTGTAAAATGTGAACAAAAAATAAAAAACCCCCCTCGTTTATAACTTTTTTTTATTATTGCTTATTCTATTCTATTCGCACGGCGGCGACGGGTTCAATATAATCTCTATTTATGTTGCATTGGGTCAAATCGAATGCAGCACGATCGTTGTGTTACAGATTCGATATTTCACAAGCTTTTCCCTAGAAATTACTTCATAAAGTGAACAACATAACAATCCAATCCAAACTGATATTATAAGTGTTTATGATAAATTTAACGATACAATTTGAAAAATAATTTTTAGTTAATTTGCAACACGTCACTAAAATAAATCACAAATACCATACATACGTAACTTTTCGTAAAGTTTGTGATACATTCATGTAGGCCATGGTTAATAACACAAATTATATTATAGTATAATGATTATTTATAAAATTATTATAATATTTCCAATAGTTCGCGTATTAATTGCGCAGTCAATGTACCTATATGTTAAAAAAAAGCAATAATAACATATTAATGAAATAAAAATGCTAACATAAAGATTTATATAAATTCATTTTTAATCAATATAATACATTTAACTATTTTTAAAACTTCTCTCTGAATAGACTAACGTAAACACTTAGTAAATACTAAAAGGTAACTTAACTAACACTTGAAATGTATGTTACCAAGCTTAAAAAATTAGATTAGTTATAGCATAAATGTACACACACAATTATTAGTTTTTATTAGTAATGGTTCTCGTGTCCATAATTAATAATAATTATTATGAAATTTAATATTTATCCTAGAGTGTATGCTACGTTTAAACTCAAATAAAATATTTTTTAATCGTTATAGGATTTGTGTTTAAATATACAATCAGTTTCAAAAATGACGAATATCACTTACAGAAACTCATCAGTTTTGATTTATAAACACATAATTATACACAATCATAATAATTATGTAACATATATACGAAATAATAATTAACTGCGAAACTGTATATGCGAGTATATGAAAATTTAAAATTAAATGTATATAAATACTAAAAAATTAATTTAAAAATGCAATTCCGTTTTATTATAAACTTATATAGGATAATTTCACACAAAAAATAAATAAATTATCTATACATTAAGCAATACAAATTGAATTTTAGATATTTTATTTAGATTAAATAACGGTTAAGGGTATTGTTTTTCTAATAGCCATGTATTTATAAGTTATGAATAATGTAATTTCCTGGTACGTAGGAAACGTTAACTTAAGTGTACAAAGCTACTCCACCCCCATTGCAATAAACAATAAAAATAATTCGGTAGTAAGTATTTGGCAAACTTCAGACGTGATTTGAATTTTTGATTATACAGGCATTATGAGAGTAAAATAATAATAATAATTCTAATTTTATATTGAAAATAAAAGAAGTCATAACAGTGTAATTAAAAAAAAAATTTATAAAGGGAAGTTTAAAAAATGGTGAAAGAAACACACTGATGAACAGGTGGTACAATTCTTGTTTTTATGATCGTGAAAACATAATATAAAGTAGGAAACACATATACTCAGTCGGTATTTCTTATAATAGGTACATAAACACTAAAACGGTTCATTAGGCTTAAAAAGAAAATGTTTTCGAGCAAAATATCTATGCAAATGTATTACGTGCATTATACCAGCTACAGAGTGCTATTGTTTAACTTAATGTATACCATTACTACTATTAAAAGTCAGTACACTTATGTTCAGACAGCTGCGTGATACATATTAATAAAAAATACTCACTACTTATAATATATGTATTTATGTGTACATATCGAATAATTATACAGTAAAAATAAAACATTACATTCCCTACTTTGATTTGCGAATAAAGTAATTCTTCGTAATTATAAAATATAATATATACCTGTGACTATTGTATTAAAATGAAGATGATTTATATATATTAGGATATTAATTTTCAAAAATCAATAAGTTTGATGTACTATATATTCTTTTGATAAAAAAAAAATATTAACTTTTAATTTACATTTTAGTCTATTTATTTATTACATTATTTAATAATATGTACATAAATAATAATATTTAAATACCTAATAATACCTAATATCTATAGATCATATGTATTTTCATTAAAATTCTTGATTTATACATAATATAATAATTATTGTTTAGCTGAATAAATGTATATATTTATTTCTTAACCATATTAAATATTTAATTTAAATTTCAAAAACAATCAATTTACGTCAACACTTATAAATAAAAACTTTTCATAAAAAGTATTTATGTCTTATTTAATTCTATCAAATTTTAAATATATATAAACTCTCTCATTCCTTAGTATGCATTAAACTTGCAATAACACTTATCATTTAAATGATATAACTTCTAAAACTTTATTAGTTACATTTGTTTGAAGTATGTTTAATAAATAAAGTTTATATAAAAAAAAAAAAAATAAATATAAGTCTAGTAGATAAATTAATTTAAGTGACATTTAAAAACAATCGTTTGGTAAAACTACGAGTATATAGTAGTATTTAGTTACTAAATAACTCTATTTATTTTTAATATATTATGTGTAATATTCTGTTTGAAGTATTGCCATTATTCCATGCATAAAAAAATTATTTCAAATATTCGCTAAAGGAAATAAAAATACACGTCCTTATATAAGTGTATAATATATATATATTATTTGACCCTGCTCTTGAAAAAAAAAATTAGTACGAGGACTAAGATTCGATTGTTAGTAAAATCGACGAAGCAGCTGCACTCGCGTGTACGCACAACGCACGTAATATCTAAGCTAAAAAGGGTGAGGGACTCAGTGTGGCGGTATGTGAGAAAATGAACGGACTATGGTTCCCACCTATAAAAATGTCGCAACAGTCAAAATAAAAACCTGAACAAGAGAGGCAAAACTGACCCTTCGTAAATGATAATCCCTCCCTATATATGTATATATATATCTATACTTGGATTTAAAATTATATAATAAGAGGTTAAACTGCAGCTTCTTCATTTTACAACACAATATTCAAATTAAAAACTAGTAAAAAACAGTACAAACGAGTTTATAAAAATAAAATGTGCTTAAAATAATGCACTTTATTGTTTTATGTAAAAAAATTTTATATTAAAAAGAAATATTTAACTTCTCATCTTAAGACAACTTGTTCCAACGAGCTCTAGTCACAAAGCAAACAAAAGATATTGCATGGAAGCCAATAAAAATCCAAACCATAGAATAAATATGTGGCATTAGGTTGGATTCTGTGAATTCATACTGATCCAAAACTTCATTGCCGTTCATCAGGCATGGTACGTCAAGATCTTCGCTACAAGCTAAAATCATAATAAATAATATATGTAAACATTTAATGCCCTTAAAATCTACCTATAATAATATGTGTTCTCATTCACCTATGTAAGTCACGTTTTTCCAGTGAAGAATAGTAAGCGCTTCGAATCCAAGCTCAAACCAAGATATTGATACTAACCAGTGCAGATACCATGGTATACTCCTAAATATAAATAATAATATATTACAATATATAACGATTATGATATTTGTCCTAGATCACATAGCGCCTTAGCGTTAGCTGAATCATTACAATTGGATACAATTTATAAGACACTAACATAATTATTTTTTTGTGTTAATTATATTTATTAACATTTAAAATTAATATTTTAAATCAACGTGTTAAATTATAGAATTCAAAAACAATTCTAAATTATAACTAAGCTTTTTTTAAAGCTCTTAAAATTATTATTTAAAATGGAAAAATTGTATATCAGTTCCACATTTATTTTAAATACATACGAATAATATTATTAAAATGAGTTAATTTAAAAGTATCACTATATTGACCTGATGTTCACAAATATTCCAGACAAGATCATGATAACATTGTCAAATGGTTGAACAAAAGTTAACGCCAACGATAAAGATCCAAAAATATTATTGAACATGTAACCTATACATACAGAAAAATAAAATTAAAACATACTAAGGTCATGTATTCTGTATTTATACACTACATTGCAGTATTTAATTATGCATTTATTAATTACATGAAAGTATAGGCAAAAAAAAAAATGGAAAATAATTTATATCATAATACTAAATATATACTGACCACAAGCAGTGGACACAGCCATTTCGAGAATCGTGATGATTACCGTGAGAAAAAATACAAACAGATCATTTTGCAAACCTGCCATACAGTAAATGATTATCGTGAATATCGTGGGCTCGATGATCATCGTGGGGATCTGTGGGGGCACGGAACAGAAAAAAAGAGAAAGAAAATATATTGTAAAAATAATAACATAATAAATTTATAAATAACATTGCCGTCACTGCATATTTGGCTCGATAAATGTTGTTACGCAAAATACTTACGAAGGATATTATGTTGGCGATATAGAATGTCGGAGCGTCATACAGGCCAGAAGTATATTCCCTCCTAAACAGGGGCAATTTTGCAGGCAGTTGGTTCATTACTGAGTACATTGGTGTAAAAAAATTTTCAGTTATTAACATGAAAAATACACCCTGAAACGACTGGATGCCAACTTGGGTTTGTTGCACCGTGCCTAAGTAACATAGACCGACCATAACAGCGATTCCCTATAAAAAAGTTCCAAAAGCTTGTTTAAATATTATGTAATAAATATATTTTAAAAAATTATTAAAGTACATGTTTTTATTAATAAAACGGATTTATCAAGTTAAATTAGGATTGTCGTAATAGGAATTACACATGAATATTAACACATATCACTGTTCATAAATTCTAATAAAAAATACGCATAAGGAATATATTGTTCAATACAAAGTATAAATGAGGATAAAAAAATACATTGTAATACAAAAAAATGTCGGCGTGATAACAAAATCAATGGTAAAAGAAAAGAATTAGCAAAATCGAAGAAAATTATACAACTGCTTCCTACGCATAAGGTGCAGATAATAGGTTTATAATATAGGCACTATTAATTATAATTCACATACACACAAATATATATATATTAGAAACATTTACGACCGCGGTGGCATTATCATTTGCCAGACGGCACGCCACCGTCACGCAGCCAAGTCGCGATCGTCAATCTGCCAAGTAGTATAGTTTTTCCTAAAAAAAAATCGAGAAATATATAAAAGAAAGTCTATTGGGGAGAAGAAGAATATAAATAAAAATAATCGACGATTTCATCTCGACAACGCACACTTTACTACGCATACAAGGCGTTTTTCTTATCATTGAACACTCATTTTCCGTGAATTATATGCAGTGGTGCCGCCAGAAACGGACCAGATAGGGCCATGGCTCTAAAGATTCCCGACCCACCAGTGGTCTTACCACTGTCCTAATCTTAGAAGTTGTCATTTTTCATGAGCAGAATTATTATTATTATATGAATAATTTAATATTTAGTAGTTTTTTCAGTGTTGATATCGTTTAAGATTTTAAAATATAGTAATTAGCTCCTATTAATTATTATTATTATTATTATTTATTTTTTCTGAAATTTCATTTTTTGTGGCCCTACCTTACAAATATTAGTCTCCTATTAGCCCTGCTTAATAAACAAATCCTAGTGCCACCACTGATTATATGTTTGTGAAACAATTGTTCGTTTTTAATCCTCTGGGCAGTGAGTAGTCATTACTATGGTTATTACAAAACATGCTTGTTAAACTACAGTTTTATGTGCGTTAATTTTAATTCCACTTATTTTTAGTTTTAATTAAATACCAACAAATAAGTTATTCCTCAATGATCGATATCTATCTTAGAATCGAAATAGGTATACAGAAAAATTAAATATTATAATATTCCTATAAAATGCTAAAACGCATGTAGATAATAATACATAGTTAGGTATTTTTTTTCCGATAGTTGTGCATACTATATGTTAGCTGAATAGAAGTGAATCGTTTAAAAATAATTTTTCAAAATACACGTGTCATGAGAAAACGGAGAAAATTAACGTTTGACGTGAATAAACCATCACCCTGTAATAATACATTACCGCGGTACACGTTTGTCTTATTAGTAAAAATGTTTTCGTTTTTTTTTCCGATTTTCTTTCACGGGGCGCCCCAGCGTATTATAAAATGATTGACGGTACGCTGATCATCGGAGCAGTATCGCGTCAGCGCACGCCTGAGAGATTGCGTGTCTGCTGTTAATTTACGCCCATGCGAGCCTCTCTATACGACCACCGCCGATAGATTCGGATACTGCAGCGACGATTATATTTTTCTTTTATTTTTATTTTATTCCATTAAGCTTTCATATCGTCTCCCGCCCGTGTTTCCGTACAATAAACAGTCGGTTATTATTAAATAATAATTATTATTAAGTATACACAGCTCTACACAGCTCGTGTCACATATTAAATTATTATATACGTTTCAGCGACGTGCGTACCTAAGACTGTTTTCGGAGTTTATGTTACGAAAAACTATTCAGGTCAAACGCAATTCCACATTAACTGATCGTAAAATCATTATACATAGACTAGTAGTTTTCTTATAAGCTTAAGTAAAGTTTATGTACTCAAATAAAATAATATACTTTTGGTAATCCCAAAATGTTTACATTTTAATTATTAATTAGACATTATAAATTATAATTTAATTAAAGAAATTTCTTATGTATTAATTTGTACGTAAGTGATATTTTTAAGTGTCCAACTTATATATATATTACTTAAAAATAGCAATTTCACTTAATATAGCATTTTTTATATGATCCTTAACCACATGATAAAATCATCTAATAAATCACAAAAATGTGTTTATTAAAAGTTGACGTTCCAACTATTGTAGTAACGAAAATCTCATTTATGATCTTCATGCTCACGATCACTATTCGAGAATTGTCAGAAATATATAAATACTTGTATCTGATATTTCATAAAAACTATATATTCTATTACATGTTTTTGAAATATAAGTATCTACATTATCGACAAAAACGAACGTATTTAACTATGAAATTCTAATCATCTTGAATATGAAATACGTATTGTTCATAGACCAAGAGCTCGTGATGACCGTACGTTGAGGTTTATATGGAGGCATTTAAATAATAAATAAAAAAAAAAAGTTATATTTGTAAAAATAAAATATCAGGACAATACGTGCAGATGCACGCAGTATAATATTAAAATATATCACATATTGTAGGTACTCACGACTTTTTGCAATATTCTATGGATGTCGATGGTGGGGTCGCGGACTTTCTCCAGAAAATATCGTCTTGTCAGGTGGTACAGTTTCACCGGCCAAAATGGCGATAAGCTGTAAACAATATTTCAACAGTTATACACAGCCAGTTAACACGGTGATTACAATGCGTTATACGACACGATATTATCATTCGCAGTGTCTTTATAGGTATCATTATTAATACTATTGTTGTCGCAGACCGCTATACAACGTGTATCTGTAGTGCACGTATAACGTAATAATAAGCTTTAGGCCCTTAACTGTATGGTAATTGAGATCGTATACACTAGAAAAGGTGTATTATATTAGTTTTCGTCTTCACGCTTATGCTACAGCAGTACGCCACCGTTTTACACGACGACGACGTTTTGAATTATACATTTAATGTTTTTTATGACGAAAAAAAATACGTACATTTTTCACATCAGTAGTGGCTGTCTCTAATACGTTAGTTTCTTTTTTTTTAAATTTTTTTCCTAGTATTATAATACTATTTTTGTTTCTACATGCACACGCTATATATAGACAACAACTCAGGTATATATTGGATTATGAAAATCGTGAAGTATGGAGCTAGTTTGTTGTTTTATTAGTTCTTATATGATTTATGCGTAGGCAAGATTGACACGCTATGTCGCAGTTTTGTTTCTGTTGACATTTCTTAGTCAATTATTGAGACGATATAAAAAGTATTGTGTTATATGACGAATAAAGTCACGTGCTAAATAAATATAAGCATGTGACATAGAAGAACATAAATATTCATAATCTTAATAAATTGACAATAGTTAGGATAAACTCTTTGATAAACTATTGGATTAGGTACTCAATAAATATCGTATTTTAATTGAAATAATTTTCTTAACCTTAAATAAAACGTAAAACAAAATGGCAGTTTAAAATATTTTAGAATTTACTTACTTTTATGGAAATATTTAGTAATTAACTGATATTTAGCAATTACTTAATACTAGCAAAACGTATACCACTATAAAATAATATTGTAAGAGTAATATTTGCAGAAATATAAAGAGCCTATAGTAATATATGAATTTAAAAATTAAGTGTAATAACTTTATACTAGAAAATACTTTCATTTAATAATATATATTCAATTGTTATTCATAAAATCGAATTTAGAATAATACTAATAATAATAATAATAAATTAATTAAACTCACTGATTACAAAATACTGATAAACTTGATGAATCCTGAAAATTACAATATTTTCATAATTTATTTATTATTAAATATTATTACTTTTAAACAATGTACATCCATTATACAATTAATTATAAGTAATGAAATGTATGTACAAAAAATATCGTTATATTTTTATTTATATAGTTAAAAATATAACTATTTTTAATTTATTAAGTATAACTACTTACATAGTATATTTCATTCGAAATTGCATTTCTTATTAATTCTGAATGTTTACTAACTGCAAATTCATCACAAACTGAGTTTACAGATTTATTTTTGTCTGACAACATTTTCATAATAAAATCTGCAGAGTTGTAATTCTCAGGACAGCGAAAACCAACACTAGAACAATAAATAAATAACCAAATACCAAAATAAATTCTTAAAAATAAATTTAATTTCATATAGATATTTAATTAAAATCTATTACCGAATCAAATATTTAATTTATAAATAGAAGATACATTTAATAGATGTTCTTATATTTTCTTAAAAATGTCTACTAACAAATTCTGAAGAAATATAAATGTTGAGTATAAAAAATAATAATAAAAGAACAAATTAAATTTAAAAAAAAAGTTTATAGGAAGAATAATATGTATTCCAGCTAATAATGTTACCAAATCTCAATAATTTAAAGAATAAACTTGTACCGCATAAATAGTAGATATAATGTAAATGATATTTATTCACTTTTTATGAAGTATCTATTTATCAACACTAAATTGCATTTCAATAGTTAAAATTTTCAAATAGCTATAGTTAAGCATGTTTCCTTATTTGTAAACAAGATAAAAATATACTAAGAACCATAATATGTCATTTCATAAGTTTTTTTTTCTAAAAATGTAACATAATAAAATATTTAAACATATCCTCCATTTACTAATAATAATTATACTATTTAGTACTAATTGACCAACTTTTTTTTAACTAATTAGTAATATATATTAATAACTAGTGGTATATTTTAAAATTTTAATTTTTGTTATTCATTTAAATAATCTCGAGCTACATTATTTTCTCTTAAATAATATTAAAAACATAAGATGCATTATAGAGCATTTTTGCACTTCTTTAATTTAATATATAGTATAAGCATGAATTTTATTTAAATCATTTTTCAAAGTATAATAAATTATTAATACATTTACTAATTTATTGTCTGATAATAAAGTGAGCCATGAATATTTTTATGTATGATTGTTTTATATAAATAATTATACCTTTCAAAAAATGAAATGGCTTGGTTAGGTGGCCCAGAATAAGCAATTCTTCCATCGGCAACTAGTATCAACTGATGAAATATACTTAAAAGTTCAGAACTAGGTTGATGAATGATACAAATTACAGTTTTCCCTTGGCTGGACACCAATCGCTGCATTATGTTCACAACTTTTTGAGCACTGTATGAATCTAACCCTAAATAAAAAGTATTAACACTTATATATTATAAAAAAATTATAGCTATTTTAAATCGAAAACATGTCAGTCGCAAAAGTAATTTTTTAATATTATTATGTAATTTTCAAGAAAACTGATAAAATGTAAGAAATTGCACTTATTCCAAATAATTTTTTTTTTTTTTTTGATAGGTGTTATGTAATTAATAAATAAACAATGATGGTTTACCGGTCGTAGGTTCGTCACAAAATAAAAATGATGGGTCAGTAAGAAGTTCAGTTGCAAATGATACGATTTTTCTCTCGCCGCCAGACAATGTTATCTACAGTTTAATAATATTGTTTGTAAACAAAAAATGACACTGTGGTAATGAATTTTCATTATAGTCAGGAATACCTTTCCGTTTTCTCCTACAGCCCCAATTCTAGTATTTGCGCATTGATTTAGACCTAATTCTTCAATAATCGCTGAAACTCTTGCTTTTAAATTGTTTTCCGTTGTTCTTCTGTCCATTTTTAATTTGGCCTGTTAGTATATTTTTTATTTTTATGTTTTTCGTAGTCATTTTAAACTAATATTATGCAATTCACCATGAAGTTAAGGTGTTCTTTGACGGTGAACACCCCACAAAATAAATCGTGTTGGTACATGTATCCAAAATTATGATTGTTAAAATTATTTACTGGTAAATTTCCTATTTTCACACTTCCTTCGAGTTGTATCTCAGCTTAAATACATACAAAATAAATGAGTTATCAAGTATACTTGAAAGTCTTATAAATGTTTTATATATTTTATAAATACCTTAATAGTTATTATTACGTTAAAAAATACTTGTTATTACCTGGAAGTTTGTTAGCCAGAGCAGCCATCAAAGTACTTTTTCCCGCGCCACTGTAATGATATATAAAATATACTTTTATACTTAATTATAAAAACACTCAACAAATATTTACCTTGGTCCCATAATGGCTACAAGTGAACATGGTGGTATGTATCCTTCGACTTGAAAAATCAACAAAATATATTCATTAAAAGCATAAACTCGTAAATTATGACAAGTTTGTGGCGTAAATAATTTAAACTGTAATTTAAGCTGAAAGGTTCACATTCCTATTTGGAAGCCATATGTAGAAGTGCTCATACGTGAACATGAAAAAGTAGATCTTAAAATAGGTATCCAATAAAAAACTTGGTTAACAATCAAAGATTCATTCCTGTTTTGTTTTCTTCAACTTTCAACCGACACAATAATTATTGTTCGATAATTATATGGATCGTTTAAAAGTTAGAAACAAGCGAAAATGCTACCACACAATATAATATAGTTTTGAATACTCTAAATGATTGTAATAATTCATACACACTAGTGTGCATAATATTTAAATCTAAAGTAAAAGTAAATACGTTAAGTACATAACGTGTGTGTACAGATCTATACATTAAGCACTTAATTAATAGGAGACGTAAACGAATAATGATTTACCATTGTTTAACAATTGTTTTCTTGATGTAATGCTAGAACGCAACCACCTGTCTTTTTTAATTAATGCATGCACGTTTAAATTCTCCCAATAAAGCGGCAAGCAGTTTTCATTATATTCACCCTAGAAAATATATTTTTGGTACGAAAATTAAAATTTAATTTTAATATACTCCTAAGATTTAATTAAATTAAATATATCAATGTTACCCCAGCGTTTTCAAATAGTTGAAAGTTCGAGTTAGATTCATCAGCGTTAGAAATTACGGTATATGCAGACGCCAAATTCATACTTGTGAATGTAATGTTTATAAAAATAAATAAAATAAAACTAAAACAGTACTTACTTAATTGATTGAGGATGGTTCTACTATTAGGCGAATTTCAACTAACAATGTATAACGAAGACTGGAAAGCATATTTGATCTAAACCTGCACGTCATCGGTGTCCAATGTGAAGCCAAACACAATTGAAAAGTATCAGTTGCATCTTTGAATTACATAATATTTTGATAATCTACTGCGTTATGCAAAAGTTAATAAATAATCCTAGGTGGTTAATCAATATCTTTCATTCAGTTGGTTTTAATAATAACAGACTATATTGAACTATATACAAAGATGAATAACCTACATAGATACATGTCAAAAAAATCGATTCATTTTTCATTTTCTAATGTGTTCTAAAACATTTTAATACGAAATAATTTTAGTAGTAAAAAGTAAAAATATGTAATTGAACATCAAGAAAAACGTAAAAGAATTCAGTCAAAATATTCATAAATTATTTGTTCTGGGAGTAAAATTACTCAAAAATAAAAAATTAAAAAAACCATGTAGTTTTACTTTTTGGTTGAATATGTTTAGTTATATTAATAAATTAATGTTGATATAGACTGACCAAGGAAGTTAAAGAGATTTATTTCCCTAGATCGGTGACTTTTATCAGATTATGTTTCAACCCAAAAGCATTATAATAATAATAAAAATCATATTATTTTATATAAATATCCAAAACTGTTAAGTAAATTTTAAATATTATACTAAAAATACGTACTAAAAAATACGTAATAAATCGTGTTTACTTACTCACTACTATTGTGATGGATGATAATTAAAGATATGAGTAGTATTATATTAAGTTGTCCAAGGCCCGGACCGTAATATTTTTATTGCAGTTCAACCCATCCAGGCCCGTTCGTAATATTTATTATTTGTTTTTATCAGTGATCTATTATTATAAATATCATATAGACTAATAATACATACATATTTTTATTGTAATTTGTGACAAGCCTACTCCATCAGTATGTGAACTTTTCCTTATTCAACGCCAATAATTGGCATTAGTATTGTACTATTTTATTATATTTAGGTAGTTATATTTTTGACCAGTCCAGTCCAAAGAAAAATACTGCGATCCTACCAACCCGCAATATTTATATTATTGAACGGCCGGGTTGTGTACAGGCCGAGTCGGGCTGGCGCGGCCCGTGCAGAATTCTAGTGCCCTTTGATATTCGACATTATGGAATGCAAACGACATTTTTGCTGACTGATAATCACGACCGCTAACGGTGTACTTTAATTTTTATACCCAGTGTGACCAAGATATCAACTTGGAAAAGTAAAATAAAATCCAGAGTAAAGAATTGATTGTTCCTTGTTTAGTCAAAGGCGTTAGTGTCAGATTTGAATTGAAATATTCGAAATTATGATCATAATTGTTAATTTTACTTACAGTTTTTCATTGAAAGACTAAAATGATTATTCTTTATCAACTTCGTTTTACAAGAATATGAGAAAAAAGTTATTGAATTACTTTTTTACGTTTAATATTCTACTACATTGATGACGAACAAGTTGACCTTCACTGGTGAATGACTACGTAGGTATTTCTCTTTTTCGAACTGCACACTTAAAATTGGTTCAACGTGGTCACAGTAAACAATATTTCTCTCGAGTTAGCTTTTATTGAGTTAGATCTATCTATATTTATCTATTGAATTAGAATTAGATGAGTTGTATCTTCCAAAAATGAATAATAGGCTTACTAATAAAATAATAAATGTTATAACTAAAAATGTAGAAAAACTAACCAAGAAAAAATTTCCGCTCAAGCTTTTTAAAAAATTGAGATCTATTGGTGAGCTTTGGTATTGCTATAAGCGATTCGAAAATCTCGAAATAATTCTTGAAAATTTTTATCGACCAATAAATGGAATAGTCTTTTTTAAATACCAACTCATTCTAATATAGCTGCTTAATGGAGAAGTGACGAACAATCTAATTTGACTTCCGAAATTTCCAATATTATTAAAATCGAGTAAATAAATAAGTATTAAATTGAAAAATAATACTGTTCATCATGTTGTACCTTTAATGTGAGCCTTGGTACGTCCCAACTCGTACATGAGAAACACAGAGGGAAGGCTTCACAGGGGCGACACCAGAGCCTTGGTTATGAGGGGCAAGTTATAATCTTACAAAATCTTATAACAAAAAGAAAACAACAATATTTACAACACAAATTCAAGTCGTCTATCTTTTTAAAATTGACAAAAATATCAATAATATGATCTATTTGATCTAGAATATCTACTTTATGATATACATTAATTAGACATAATACTGATAGTAGGGGTCTTTATTTCACGTGTATTTAATTACACGGGTACACGTGTTTTTAAGAAATCAGTGTTAAAGTTAGTATAAATATAATACACGAATAAACGAACATTAAAATCCATGTACCCGTGTATTCGCTACGATTACCCGTATGGCGTGTATCTGTGTATTTTATTTAAAAAAAAAATGTGCCTATCGATCAAATTTTCTTATTATAAAATGTATAGACTACAGATTGTAGTAGATCATATGTTTGTGTGTAATGAAATATATATTTATTGTTATACACGTTTATAAATAATACGTGCTTATAGTATCTTCAGTCTATAACATTTTTATTTTCTTATATTTGAATAAATACAGTTGTTAAATACAATTAATAACAATACATTTTAAACAAAATAATTACGAATAAATTAAGTAAAAAAATAAACATAAAAATATTGGTACTCGATGATTTAACATAATTTATAAATAAAGAAGAAATATTTATAATTTAATAATAATAACTTAAAGTAATAAATAAATAATATGTTTAAAGAAACAGAAAATTAGATAAAGAATAATTCAACACGAATTGTCATTAAATGTCTTCCTAAAGATCCTGTGGTACCACCATTACAACAAAACTCATTATTTTCACTGTCAGAACATAAACTGCTTTATTTCCTTGACGATTAGTATATTGCCAGACCCAACTTTTTCGGATGTTCATTTTAATATTTTTAATTATTCAATTATGTATTAAATAAATGTACGACTTTTTAGCGTAAACATCAAATGAAAGAATGAGAATATTACATATTTTTGAAAACGATGCTTTAAGTTGTATCTAGGTTTCCATTAGGTAGGTGCATGATTACGAGACAACACAAAGTATAAAAGTCACTAAGATATCAATAACAAACTTTAAATGCATTTAATATTATCAAAACATATAATTATATAGTATTATATTTATACACTATTAAGGTTTTGAGATTAATATTTAATAATATATTATGGTTAAATTATATGTAAAACCAATGATGTAATATAATTGCAGCTTATATGTTATATATATGTATATAACTTGTATATATTAAATAATTTATTTATATTAATTATTTAAAATAAACTTTAAAAAAATACACGTGTATGTCAATACAAGGGTACACGGATTTTATTTACACGTGTAATTCAATACAAGGATATTAATACATTTTAGAAACGTGTACACGGATTCCTTAATACACGTTCAAAATTGTGAGCCCTAGCTGATAGTCTATCTTCAGTCATCATTGAGCGAAGCCAGGTTTTTAGAATCATAAGTGTGGAGAAACTCCTTTCAATCATCATACCTCATGGCTCTAACTACATATTTGTATGTGTCGTACGATAGTACATATTATAATATGCATTTTTTGTTAATATAAATTTTTTTACAAATATGGTACGGGCTTGGAAGGGGAATTATTATTTAATATAATAATAATAAATCTTCAAAAAAAAATTTGATTGATAATGTTATATGAACACTAAATACTTACTATGTAAATTCAAACTAATATAAACTGACAAAATATTTCTATTAGTTCCAGTTAATTTACTAGAACTCAAATCTGAAAGAAAATAATTAAAGTATCAAAATAAATATTGATATATTTGAACGGATTTAAAATATGATTTAAAATATTAAGGTTTTTGAAAAATAAAGGACTTAATTATCACAACTTGACTGTATATAAAAATATTATAAAAATAATATTTAGTAAAAGACAAAACAAAGTGACTATCATGTGAAGATGAGCAATGTTTAATAGTAACTAGCACATAGTATTACTTGATGTACTGAAAATCAGAATTTTTTTTAAATATAAAAAGTTTTTTAATTTTATAAAATAATAACTGATAACATTTTAAAATATTTTTAGAGTACAAATTATTAATGTCTACAAATTATTCAATGATCAACATTTAACACCCCTTAACAAAATTTTTACAATCTAATATATCTCATGTGAATAGCAAACTAAGAAAATTTAAAAAAAAAGTTGTTCATTGGCAATGTATTAGCTTTTATTAAATTAATAAAATAAATATTATATTAAAATTTAAAATAAATTAAAATTATAAAATGAGTAGTTAAGGAGAAATAAAATTATAGATTTTATATATTTCCAAAATTCAAAAATTTCTATTTATATAACAAAAATGAAATTTTAATATTGGAAAATTATTTTACCCAATGAATGAGATACACACTAAAAAAAAAATAATAAACAATATTTACATTTGAACTCTTGAATAATTACAAATAAAATTTTAAAAAAAGAAAAAAACAAATATTTTAATATTTCAAATATTTCTTAATTGTGATCACCTACAAAAATGTTCTATGAAATTAATTATATAAATTATACTTTGACAGTCCCAATATTCTATTTTCTAGGCCCAAGTAACTGAATATAATACAAACATTTTGGATTTATTAATATTATTAATTTTAATAATATATTTGTATACAATAAAAACAAAATTTATTAAACAGATATGATATATATCTGATCACGTTACATTTTGAGTGACAACTGGTACCAATTTTTCTGGAATTATAGGTAGCTTAAAAAAAAAAAATAATTATTTATTATGTCGCGTACAATAAAGTGTATAAGTGTATATAATGTATTTTATATAGGAATATTTAAATGATAATAATAAGTAAAATATTCCCAATTCCCACCTCCTCACCATTTAATAATCATTTAGCTCTAATCACCTTTCCACTCTCATCATGACCTTGGTACTTGGGTTTACTATGAGTAAATGGCAAATATCTGTATCTGATCATATGCTGAAAGCATAAAATAATAAATTAAAATACATTCCATATACTTTAATTTGATTACATATATATTTTATTAATACCCTTATATACATAAAATAGACAAATAGGATATTTTAAATTTTAAGCTTATAATTTAAAACTTTCATAAAAAATAAAATATTTAATTATCAAACATATGATTATAATGGTTAATATTATTTACTTAGTTAAATTAAAAATTTTGAACAATAAAATACTGTAATGTTGCCCTGAGCAATAATTAATAACTTAACAACAATTTTAGTTATAATCTTTCAGGAATTAAATACTTTTGATGAAAAAAATCTGTTACCAGAATAAAATGTAGAAAAATATTAAGTATGATCAATAATATTAATTTATTTTGAGAAATTATAAATATTAATATCCAATTTCAGAATTTAGAATCATGTAATATATTTTTTTGTTCAATGGATGGAAACTCTGATAACTAGGTGAATAAGAGGAACTTTAGTTTATTGTTTATTGATCAAAAAGTTTAAGTATAGGAACATGGAAGACTGGTTGCTACAGTACAACACCGTGCTTCGAAAATCTTATAATAAAATTCAAACAATCAAGTAATAAATTTAAGTTAATCAAACTTATTAAAAACTATTGTATAAAATATTTAGTTATATAAATGAAGTTTAATTAAACATATAAAATAATGCAATTAGTATACATTAAAATACAACAAAGAATCACCATAAACTACCGGGATAATATAATTTATAATTCACATACAATATGTCAAATTTATTTGAACCATTGTTAATTTTTTTTTAATAATACAATAATAGTTCATAAAAAGATAAACATAATATTTTTAAGATAAATTTATTCAGAAATATTTATACCAACTTTAAGAAAAATAGAGTACAAGCAGATAAATATATAAATCAAAATTATTTAAATTGTTTTAACAAAGACTTTTTTATTTTTATTTTTTAAATATTAGTTTAATCTACATGTAGCTAATTAATGTATGTTTTTTATGCAGGTATTTGATTAATCTATTTAAAAAAATTAAATTATTCCACTTTTAAATTATAATTTTATATCATTGAATAAATGTGACAGAAGTGTATGGAGACATTTCGACCCATAGTATTTACTGATTTTTATTTTTAATTACCTATATATTGTTTAAGTTTAAAGTATTTTATTTGTTTTTATTATAATATAATTGCTATAAGTTTCTATGTGAATAAATAATATGAAAAAATATATTTTTATTAATATAAGTATTATATTTATTGATATCTTATAAATTAAAAAGAATTCTTACCATAATTTGGCGCTTCATTGTAATACAAAATAGAATAATAAAGTATAAGACGAGAATTGGCCAAAATACAGGAACGTCAAACAGTTGGAAAAATGTCAGGAATATTGACAACAGTGTTGATTTTACTACCGAGTACCAAAATTTAAATTCGGGTAATCGGCGAATAAATGGTCGAAATTCTTCATTTGCTCTAGTTGGCAAAGATGGGCCTGAATCATCTAATTAACATAGAAAAAATTATTAAATAAAATACAATAATTAAAAAAATGGTAATTACCTTCATACTCTTCCATAGCTGGATCTATTTTAGGTGTAAGGAATGCAATAAATAAATTTAAGTGGTATATACCTAATGCATATGTAATTATATACCACCCCTAAAAATTTTAACAAAATACTATATTGTACAAATTTTATAAAAAAAAAAAAAAAAAAGAAAAACGATATAATAAATTAAAACTTAATATTACCTGCAACATTATTATTCTTATCATAAATAAAAATACTATTACAAATGCTGCTATCCATCGGGCTGTTCGAAATGGTGTGATATCATCCAGAAATTTTTGTAGCTTCTATAAAAGCATTAAAAATTTAATTAAAAAATGATTTTCCATTAAAATTAATATCAAACAATAAAAATTAATAATGTATAAAATTAACTTTAGTTTTAAAATATATTGGTTAATTAAACATATAATTAAGATAATAACTAACATATACATTTAGGATTATAAGATTCAGTATTTATTTAAGGTAAATTATCAAGTTGGAGTATATTAAAGTATACAATCATATCACAAATATTTAAAATATATTTATAAGCTGATCATATAACATTAAAGAAAACAAACAACACAAAATCAATTTATAATAAATTTCTGTATTGCATGTCTACATATGTGAAATAAATTAAATGGAGTTGTTTATATTTAAATACCTAATAAAATTTTATGATTAAAATGTAAAATATGATTTTAAATACCTGAGATAAACGAAGAAAAGCCAATGAGATTGTGCTTTGATGACCACTAGAATCATTTGTAAAATCTTGCATTTTAGACTAGAAATTCACTTCAGTTTTACAATTTCTAAAATAAAACTAATAATCAGTATAACATCTATCATGTGAAAACTAAAATATAAAATAAAATAATGGTGATCACCTCTATTATAATTAATTTACAAGCCAAGTAATTCTAAGCACGACAATAAAGCAATACAATAAGACAGATTATATTTTTTACTTTAACTACAGAACATCAAAAACTAACATGTATATTAAAATTAAAACACAGGAAAATAAAGGCATTTTAATAATTGTCCATTGATAAATATTTAAATTCAGTGCAAAGATGATTTGAAAAAATCATGCTTTACAAATGTATTTACCAGTTGACAGTTAACACTTAAATAAGAACATTGTATATTATACAGTTAACTTTTTAAAGTTATATTAAATTACCATAATTTTTTATTACTGCATAATTGATAGAGGTAATCAGCATTATGCAACGAGTTTTAAATAGTTTGGGAATAATATCACAGGCGTTAAATCATACTCACATATTATACAGTGGGACGTTGAATGATATCCGTTTATTTAATGCAAACATAAAATTATGGTTATTGTTTGACAAACCATTATCGCAACGTTGATTATAATCGAATATACACTAATCAATTGCCTCCAATCATCAACTGCACATGCCTAGTAAGCCGTGTCTGACCAGTGTCCCGGTGTTTTCAGTTAATCGTACTTTACACTCGGGACAACTGGAGAAGTATTTACTGTTGATAAAGAAAAAAGAAATAGAAACACAATGTACAAAAAAAATAAATAAATAACGTCGAACACGTCAAACAGAAGACGGCTTCGAGCAGTCGGCAAAAAGGATGAAGTTCGTTTAGGGTTGTTCGTCACTGATAATATTATGATAAGATTCCGGTTGCGTGGACTGTTGTGAGTTCACAACCACCGAACGAGTCACAGCTGATATCGCCGTCTCCTCCATGAAAACATTTCGTTCGTCCATATTTTTTATCGTATCGATACCGTCCATAGACTTCATTAAGTAATTTCACAAAAAGGGTACTGTGTCACTAAACACAAGTAGGTACATATAAGTACTGACAATATTTTACATAATATCTATTCATGTTATAAAATATAATATTAAAACAAATGAAAGATTGTATTTAGATAATGCAATTTATCCTTTATTATTAAAGTACATTATTGATAATTGATTAATAATAAAACCTTAAAACTCGAGATTTATATATCTAGTCTTCATGAATAAAACAATGAACTTATTGATAATAAATTATGTAGATATTATAAATACGTCCAAAATTTGAATTGGACCGATAAGGACACGATATTAAAGAGACGCGGTTTGGCGTTCTGGGTAACTTATGTTAATATACGCAGCACGGTCGCGGAAAGAATAACGAATAAAAGAACAACCTCTTCAAATGAAGACATTAGCAACACAAAGCGTAACAATTTACTTGTATATTAATATTAATAAAATAAATTATTATTTATTTTTCTTTAATTATTAAAATTCAATTTATTATTGAAATATTGTATTTGTTCTTTTTATCATAGATTCTTAACCTTTTCTGGGCCATGGACTCCTTTAAAGCATACAATGTAATCACGGACCCCTCCCCCTTTAAAAAAAAATACGTGTATATATAAATAAATAAATATAATTTTTATTACACGACGACGGATCAACTGAAGTGATAGGTTTCCGAGTTAAATTGAAATACTCTTTAGATCGTGTATGGCCACATATATATATTATTTTACGATTACGATATTTTTATCTTTATATGGCATATAAAAACGCCATCTAAACAAATTTGTTTCTGGCTTATTAAAAATAAACTCACAGCCACCCAGTGGACCCCGAGTAACCATCTACGGACCCCCAAGGGGTCCATATATATATATATATTTATTAATCGTAAATAAATCATGTGGTATCACTAATTCTAAAATGTAATATAAATATACTTATATACTTTTATGAGCATATTGTATTTTTTTTTTTACAAGGTATTCATTTCTAATTCAATTTCATCCCTAATAAATGGCCTCTTGAAATGGTTTGACCCACAGTTCCCCGACTCTAGATCCGCCCCTGTCCGTCAGGGTTGATCTTTGGAATATTTGCTAGATTAACGATGTTTGGATTGTTGCTAACATCAGTTCAGTTGTAATCATAGATTATAAATACCCATCTATGAATTGTGGTCGTAATCATAGATTAATATATATATACATTTATTAATATCTTAGTCCGTGGTTCTAATAAATGTGTAAATACACGATTTGAGATACTATATTAAATCGCTGGTAGATTTAAAAACAAAAATAATAATACGGGCAATGGGGGGGGGGCTTTAACCCGTTGCTCCCCCCTTCGTACATCGATGGTTGACGTGTTACAACATTTATAATTAATTATTTAACAGTCGTAAATCTTGAATTCTTTTTTTTTGGTTCTTCGTAGGTAGGATTGAACATATGTTTATTTGTTTTCGCTTCTAGTTAAGGGTCTTATTTTTACTGTTTAATATCTTGTTGATTTATTGCTCTTCTGGTTCTTGTTTTATGATTTGTGATAGGTATTTGTTTGTTGTATATTTGGCATTTTGGTGTTGAATATATTTTTTTATCTATTTTGTGATAGGTATGACTATATATAATAAACCATATTATATGGTTTAGTAAGAATTATTAGATTATAGCAATAATTACTCTCATTTAATATACAAATCATAATATTTGAATTCAATCAACTCTATGGCTCTCTTCAGAATTGGAATTTTTTCGTCATCTACCTAAATCAAAATTGTTTAGGGAGACAGGTAAACTTTTTTCATTTTTAATGGTATAAATATGATAATTTTGTAACTTTCCTAGAATAATTTAAAAATTTAAAATAAATCAAATTTACTTTATATAATTACTCTTATTTCATTATTAACTAATAACATGTTTATTCAATTATTTTTATGTTTCTTTTCAGAACTGGGATTTTTTTTTTTTGATCGACCTAAATCAAAACTCCCTCGAGAGCCGGGGATCCCCTTTTCATTTTTTTTGGTATAAATATAATAATCCTGTAGTTTAATTGAAATGTTTTAAAAATCAAATAAAATAATATAGTTAAAGCTTTATATCTAAATATTTATAAATCAAGTTAATAATTTTAAATATATTAAATAAACATTATAATTACAATCATTTAATAATCAATTAATAGTATCTTAACTCAATTATTTTTGTTTCTCTTCAGAACTGCGATTTTCTTTTCATCTACCTTAATCAAAATTGTTTCGGGAGCCAGGTAATCATTATTCATTTGTTTTTTTCATTTCAATGGTATAAATACATTTGGAAATTTCTTAGAAATATTTAAAATTTAATAAAATATTTAAATTAAATTTTTATATCTATCTATTTATAAATCCAATTTAAAAGCTTTAAAAGAATAATAAATCTTTATATAATTACTCTCATTTAATATACAAATAATAATATTTGAATACAATTAATTCTATGTTTCTATTCAGAACTGGAATTGTTTTGTCATCTACCTTAATCAAAATTGTTTGGAAAGCCAAGTAATCATTTGTTTATTTTTTATTCATTTGTTTTTTTTCATTTTTAATGGTATAAATATAATCATTTTGTAAATTACTTAAAAATATTTAAAATTTAATAAAATATTTAAATTAAAACTTTATATATAACTATTTATAAATCAAAATTAAAAAATGTAAATGAATAATAATCGTTTAAAATTACTCGACACATTCGACCATAAAAAATACAATAAAAAATACGTTTTGTGTCGTAACGACTAATCAACTGATAATCGAAGGTGAATAAATAAATAAAAAGAATGGAATCTTAGAACAGCTCATTGATTCTAATGAAGATATCTAGATATAAATACAAATAATTAATTCGACAAACGGGACAGGAATCACGCTCTGCTACCAGTAATGTACCACCGTCTAACTCACATTCGTCAAGAGTATCGAATGGAGGGCATACATTTTATTGTGATTTTGTTTTAACAGCGTCATCTGTTGCTATCACAGTCAAACCTTCAGGAAAAGGGGTGACAGACACATAAAAAAATAAAAATAAATAAGATAATTTAGGAAAATAGATAAATTTATAATTTATTTGATAATTTAAAAAAATCCCTAGATAGTAGGCCATATATGTATCCATATATGTATGCAAATATAATTTAAAGCTATATAATAGAAAAATTTTAATTCATAATTAACTTAGAAAACCTTATATTATATGGATGAATCTTAGTTTTTATTATTTTTGACTTAACCACTAGATTGGCTAAAAGATAAGTACAGTATGTTGTATCGAAAAGAAAAGGAATCAGTTATTACTAATGTAAAATTCTGCTAATCAAGTTCAAAAACAAACATCATACTTATACAAATAGTAGTTGTATATTGAGGTTTTTATTTAGAAATAATACAATATTAAAACACAAAAAAACTTTTTTTGGGCTAATTACTTATTTACTAAATTATCACAACAAAATTGTTATCATATTACACATACAATGGCTTTAGTCTTAAAGAAAATATTTCAAACTGAAACTGAGTGAAACAATCAAACCTTTCTTTTCTCAAAAATATATAAAAAATAATGAATTACAATCATTATTTGAAAATTCTAATTTAAATTTAAATCACTCTTATGGACATTAATGAAATAAATTATCTTAATATTTATTCACATAATAAATTAACAATTTTTACTTTGCCTACAATAAGTTTTTTTTTTAAAAATCTTAACATATAAAGTGTTAAAAACCTTGTATAAAATCTATATCCTTATATACTATAATTTATATTGCACTCATATTTTGGTAATCTACAGTTATAATAATGGTAATAAAGAAAAAAATAATAAACATAGGTAATAAAAACATAAAAACAAAACAAATAATTAAAACAATAAAAACTAAAGAAATTTATAAATGGTCTATAATATGATTAAGCTAGGTTCAAATAAGTTCATCATACGTTTATTATTATTTTACATTCTATATTATTTTACTCTATAAATATAAAAAATATTGTAAGTCAAATAAGTCACAGTCGATATTACAGTTTTACGTATATTGTTTTATTTTACCTAGTTATCTATAGTATGTGACAATTTATATGTATTTACATATAATTGCTCTTTTTAAAATATTAATATTACAAGATTTATAAATATCAATATTAAGTAAGTAGATATACTTTTATGTTTTTTACTTGGCAGTTTATATATGAAAACATCATAATTTTTTATTGCACTTATAAAGGCTTGACGGCAATTTAAAAATCAAACTTTGAATATTTGTTTTAAATTTTGAACATAGCTGTAATAAAAATTAATAGTAATATAAGCTCTATGATTTTGTATGATATACATAAAATATTACTTCAGGGTATAATTAATTTTTATAAAAAAAAAAAAAAAATATTTGACAATTATTTTGTACCTAGTTTTCAATTAAGACCAGAAAAACAAAACAAAAATAATTAAATATACATAACAATAATAACTTATAAATAAATAATATTTCAACTAAAAACTGTATGACTGTGGTTATATTAAATTATTATGTAAACCTAAATATATTATAATATATAATATATATTAAATAATACTAAATATATAATATTTTATAAACACCTTATATTTTTTATACTACTATGGCCATTCTTCATTTTGAATTAAAAAATTATTTGATTTGTATAGTATCAATTATTTTACATAGTAAATAGAAAATGAGAGATACAAATAATAATTATAATTTTGTTGGATAAAATTATTGATTCATTATTTGTTCTTTTCGAATAAATATATTTATATTTTTGAAATACTAAAATGTATAATATAAAATACTTCACAATCTTTAAAATAAGAATGTTCAAACTAATAGAAAAATTAAAAAGTAATACTAAATAAATGATATAAAAATTTAAAAATATAGAACACTTGTCATATGTCTTGTGTTCTATGATTATAATTATATATTTTAATTATAAATTTTAATTTCGAGTTATTTGAGTTTAACATGTGTTATATTGGTGGTTCTCCATGATAAACTTTAATTTTTTATTTTTATATTTTTTTCCAATATTTAAAATTAAAATACTTGAATAAATATCCGACTTAGAAATTAGAACTACAATAGAATATAAATCGTAAACATTCTTGAATAATTTTTTAATGGAATGAAAAATATCTCACTTATAAATAATATGAGTAAGAAAATTAGAAATTAATTTCTTAAATTATAACGTAACGAAAAATATTTCGTTTTAATTGATACGATTACTACAAATATGGCAGGATTTTACTCGGTAATTATACGGAGAAAAAAGTACAACGTTAATTTTAAAAATGGTTTTAAACTATTATGGAATATTAAAAGTAATTATAGAATGACAATTATTAATATTTATTAAATATTATACAAATAAGTCTACTGGTTAGTATAATATCTTATTCAATATAATAATATTATTATTAATAAAATAATTTATTACAGTCGAAATTTTGATTTTTGGCACTTCTCTTATCATGCGAAAATTACGCATTTATGTAATAATTTGTGCACTTATGTACACAAAGATAGAATCACTTGAGTTTATGTTATACCTACAATTTTAGTAAAAATGAAAATAAAAATAAATATTAATAAGTATTAATAAATACTATCGTAATATTAGTATAAGTAAATAAATGAGAATTTTTCGTTAAATTGAAATCAGAATTATTTCATAAGGCATATACATAAGGCATGTACTAATATTCATATATAAAACTATATAATCTTATTCGTTTCTGTCCTTTTTTTATATAAAGCGTCTCTGTTAACGGACGGACTAAATAAACTTCTCGTAAATATTTACTTTAAAATTTTCTAAGAAACAGAGCGTTGCAGTAGGTTCACTACAACTAACAAATAATTTACATGGACGCACAATATTTTATTTCGAAAACCAATTAAATCAGTGTCGCTAGGAACGGGATACAAAGACCTAAGCAATGACTAATTGATGTATCATACAGTCAAGAATTTTTCTGCTAGGAGCGAAGAGTGTTTTTACCTGAAGAGAACTTTAGGCAAAGAAGCAGGACGTTTGCACAAATTGGGTTGTCGTAGTTAATTACAATTGTATTCGTTTCTGAAGTAGCAATGAAGGGTTTGATTTCGGTTTTCCGACGGAGACCCACTGTATTTGCTTTTGCCCCGGAGCCTAATCACGACACTGGTTTTAAATACTCCGTATAATAACATAATTATCAATAATATACAAACTAAAACACACCAAATAAAATATTAGACGTACGCGCAAGGGCGAATCGTTCTTCCGATGACAACATACGCAAAAAGGAAAAAGCATACATGTAGGTTAGTCGTGTTATGAAACTCTGCGATGCCGCACGCCGTTAGATACTAGGATGTTTCGTAAAAAAAAAGGACCGAGGTGACCTTCGGTAACGTGTGATTTCGCGGGAAAACTGGTGCAGTACTATAACCACGTTCGCTATACGTGAGTCGTGACGGTGTTCCGTCGACTTATCGCGTTCACTTTAACGCCATAATATTTAATACCAGTAGCGAAAATGATTAATATTGTATGTACACGACGGTCATATTTGACCGCCACATCACTGCACGTTCCTGAAGAACATGCTGAGCTTCCACATGGTCATGGGCTTCTTAAACACGGTCACGGAACCGTCGCGTTCCGTTCCGCCCAGCAGGTACACCGCGTACTCCTTGACTTGGTGTTCGCCGCCACCACCACGGCCGCCAAACATCGGAGCCCGTCCGGCGCTCGAGGACCGCGTCGGTTTCGCCGTGGACCGCACGTCCGAGCTTGAGTTGAACGCTGTCGACGAGTTTAGCGCCAACGTCTTGGGCGGAACCGGCCGGTTTATCTCGCGCATTTCGAAAGCGTTGTCACTATCCTCCAGCAGGCTATCCGGCGGGCTGTTCAGCTTGACATAGTCACCTGCTTACAAACAGAACGCCAAAAGACGTACTTTAAACAGTGCGCACTAGATGGCGAACATAGATTCCTGTGCCAAAACCAAAATTGATCTATCCCAATCGCAATATAATTATTTACAGAATCGTGGTTATATACAAACCTATGTACGTTGTAAACGTATTAATTTAGAAAAAAATACAGAAGTTAATGACGTGACGAACTTAAAAGCAGACAGAGTAGAGCATTGCAGCCGATTACTCGTTCTACTAGACTTAATCCTTGATAATCACTTAGGCACTATTAGTATATATTAATGTAAAATGTAAAATTTTGATATTTTATGAAATATGGTGTCTATTTTAACTATCACGACGTATATACCTACGTAATTAATTTTTTCAGTGGCGTAGCAAGGGCATAGCGAACTGTGCCCACGCCAGGGGCACAAAATCGTGCATATTTCGTATTTTTATTTTACCTTCAAAATGAAAATTGTCCATTATAAATTTTGAAATATATAGATTTTGTCTAATTGTACATTTAATGCTGAAATTATGAAAAAAGCACAAGGGAAATCATGTAGGAGAAAATATCAATGAATTCGCCATTTTTAAAGCGAAAATAGCAAATTTTCAAAGTTCAAAATTTACACTGTATTAATAAAAAAAAATCATTAAAATTAAAGGTTAAAAAATATATCATCACATCAAATTTTTAATTGGGCAAAAGGCGTTTTCTTCTAAGTTTGCCAGGAGCGATAGCGAGTTTTCCTACGCCACTGAATTTTTTATTCTGACTATATTATTAAGGTACGGTACACAATAATTAACGATTATGATAAACTAATAAACATTTGGAGATGATAAAATATTCTTGCATTACTGTTCCAGCCAAAAATGTATACTATAAAATAGAGTTAAGATATCTACAAGCGATTAAAAATCTTTATTCACAAATAAAAAAGAACCCAAGTAAATTGTAATTAATTTAATATGTTTATAAATTAAATTTCAGCACTGAAATAAAATTATCATTAGCTAATAATTAAAAATATATAATGTCTTCCAAAGTCAACTTTAATAATTGCTTTAATTATTCATAACTATAACCTATTAATTACGTTATTACGAGTCCCAACCCTATTCGAGAAAATTAAGTGTAAATAAAATATTTGCAACAGTTATGCCAACATTTATTATTAGGTATATGAAATTACTCTACATAATAGGACTATTACTAACTCAACCTGAGTGGAATTCATTTAAAATTAATCAGACAATTCTTGAATAACTATAGAATATGGTTTATATTATAATATAATATAATTGTATTAGTGTGCGGGAAAAATTATATAATTTTTTTGTCTAAAAATGAAATTGTAAATTAATACTAGGTGAATAACTCAAAAATGGCATTGGCTTTTCAAAAAATGTATGAATAACCTTTGAAGATAGAATTATAAATATATAAATAATTAAACAAATAGTTTATAATAAAAAAGTATATAGATATAAATATTTAATTCTAAGTTATTTCACTCATTTCTATGTATAAACTATTTGTTTATTTATTTATTTATTAATTTACGAATATTAACCATTTAATAATTTTAATGTAATTTTTTTTTTATTTAAATTATCATTTATATTACGTATTTAAGATTTTAGCCATTTTAAAACAAACTAATTACATTTTTAACTATTTTAATAAATATCAATCGCTTTGAAATTATAAAAACAGACGCACTTGAAATAACTAAAGTTATAAGCATTAATAAATACATACGCGATCATGTATTGCCATTGTATTTAGGACACTCACAGAGCAGAGACAAATTGTATTATTAAATGTTGTATTGAATTTTTATATCAGCCCAATTTTCGAACTTACAGGATTCTATAGGCTGTAGACACCGTTTTTAGAGTAAAACTTTGAAATAATGATCATACCAAAAACTAATGTGTATCGGGTCGGGAATATTTCGGTTGAGTAGTGTTCGATTATTGTTATAATTACATTGCATGCAGTGCCGCAACTAAACTAACTTGGGCCCGTGTGTAAGTAAAATGAATACCCTTCTCCGCATCCGGACTCTGCAGAGAAACCGTGCCGTATTTGTAACCAAACTATTTTTAATTCCGATTAAACAGGCTGTAAAATAAACGTTGATGTACGATAATTTGTACAAAACAAAATCAATAATTTATTTTTCAATCTCCATTAGTAATTATTATAACAAAATGGTTTAATTCTCTTGCTTTCTACATATTTTTAAAATATTACACAAAATTTGACACACGCAACACACCCGGTTATTGTGGCACTGATTGCATGCCCATAGAACAGTCAAGCGGTGATAAAATATAAGGTTTGAAATCGATAATATAATTACTGCCGTTCGGGGCGCGAGCACATACCTTTGGAAATAGCGTTTTGTATGTCGGCCACCATGTAGTTAGGGTTGGAAAAGCACATGGGCCCGTCACCGTTGGGCGACTGGTGCACTGTCTCGATGCTGACATAACCGGAGGTGATTTCGCCCGGTTCCTCGGGCGTGCTATACGGGTTGCCGAACCGTGCGGACGCCGAGCTAGTCATCGGGTAACTGCGGCGGTTGAGCGTTTTGTTCAGCGACGAGGACGCGCACGACGGTCCGTTCGGGTGGAACCGCATGTGTACGGACCCGAAGTCGTGGTCGATCTCAACACGCGGGCTGGGCGCCTCTTCGCCTTCCAGGTACACAAGCTTGGTGGCTTCGACTGGGGTCAGAGCAACGCCGAAGTTGGGCACGGACATCGGGTCCCGCGGCATCCTGGGCGCTGGAAACGACGACTTGTAGCCGGGCGGCGACGCGTTCGACACCACCGGCGATATGAGCGACCTGGCTATCACATTCGCCGACTGTGACTTGACCATGTTCTGCTGCTGATGCTGTTGCTGCTGCTGCTGCTGCTGCTGCTGGTGATGGTACTGCTGCAGGTGCTGCTGATGCGAGGCGTCCGCGGACACCACGCTGTCCGTGCTACTCAGCACGCTGTACGTCTTGTTGTGCGCCAGCCGGTACAGGTTGAGCTGCGACAGCTTCGATATCTCTTTCAAGATGTTCACGTTCGAGCCGCTCGACGATGACGCCCTGGACTCGGGCCGGCACTGGTGAGGCCACTGGTGCGGGAAGCCACCCAGATCCCGGTCGCCGCCGTTATGCTGCCGGTCTGCGGACCGTCCACTCCTGGACCGCCGACCCGCTATGGGCGATTGCACGCCATTCTCCCGGCCGCCCTTGCCGGTCGTTGTCGTCATCGTCTCCGACACGGCCAACGTCACCGCCTCGCAGATAGCCGGTGGTTGCGGGTAGGCCGTGTGCACTTTTTCCCATGTCTCGGCGCCTGAACATATTTAAATTAACCTTAGATGAAGACCTGCATTGTGTGTATGTGGAATGCCACATACACAATGGTGTATACACTATAAAAAGTCGCTGTAGTGCACGGCCTAGCGAACATTTATTCAACATACATATTACGCAATATGGCTATATTGCTAATGTTAACGAAATTATTGGAAAATTGCATTTGAAATTTTTAAATTTTTAAATTTTTTCTATCTCACAACTACTTTATTAACCCTATGTAACTACATAACGTTTTGTGTCACAAGAGATAGTTTCTGTGGAAGCACGCACCGCCCTTATAACGCTACCAGACGTAACTGCCGAGCTGTTCCGGCTAAATACAATGAAATGTCAAGGCGTAGGTTTAGCTGTAACCTGACTACGACTCCTAACACGCTACCCAGCGAACCCGATGCCACCACAAGTCCAACCTCATGAGCGCGGCCCGTGACCCAGGACCCGCGAGGTCACCACTCTCGGAGCACCGTCAAGTTCAGAATAATGGGGATTCCCCAAGATCCCGTGGCATATGTTATGTACCTACTCGGTTTATCGAGCATATTTAGTCATGTACTTATGCACCTAAAGTAAATAAATAATGACTATTAATAATAAATTATTACCGAAATAAAACTTCCACAAGTCATTACTAATCTGCCCTGCTTTTTTTCCGCCAAATATAATCATAGAACCCATCACTTTAGAAGCACTATGGCCATGCAACGTCCCGGGATTTACTTTGGTCTTCAAGACACTCCATTTTTTTCTCACTGAAATAAAAATATGTTTTTATTATAATACATTTATATTACGATTATTTAATAAACATTAAACATTTTTGATGCAGTCGTAAATGTTGTACTAAAAAAAAAAACAATTAAAACATAATGGGCAGAATTCAGTTGTATTTTTATATTAATTAATTGGTACTTTCAAATAAATAACAATAATGCATGAATAATGAAAATATATAAGCTAGATATTATGTATTATAATTATTTGTTAGTCTATTATAAATTGAAGTATAACTATTAACCAAAACTATGTAATTAGTTTAATCGAAGTAATCAATAATGTCAAGATGATATGTTTAAAATACGAACCAAAATCAAATCGCCACAAATCTGATCTTTCGTGTAAATCGGTCATACCACCATACACCCACATTACATCGTCGTGTATAACTGCTGAATGTTTATGCCTGGCTGGTGGTAATACTCTTCCTTGAGAAAGCAAATGCCACGACTCGGTATCTAAAGCCAACATAATAACTTACATAGTAAAAAAGATAAAATCATAACACAATATTTGTTATATATATAAAATTATTGTAAGAATTTTTTATTAAAAACTCTTTTTGTCTCATTAAAAACAATGTTCTTTTTATGAATTAAAAGTAAATTTATTAATAATTTCTAAAGCTATGAAATTATAATAAATCATTTTAAATCGTTAAAAATCAAAATTTACGTCATAAATGTAATAATATAATTCACTCAATTACCGAAGTGAAATGCCCACATTTCATTTGTAGATCCTTTTAAGTCCCTGTATCCTCCGTAAATAATCATTGAATTCCTGTAAACCAATGCTGTATGTCCTCTTCTACCTTTAGGTATATTTGAACCGGATTTACTTTTAACTTTTTTCCATTGATTCTCCTAGAAAATTAAAATAAATTATTTTCATCAATATTTACATTAAAATGTTATTATTTACACTAGCTTCCCCCTCGAACCCGTCAATTACCGACCACTATGTTATGGAACGTTGGTTAATACGTAATATTTGCTGTGGTTTAATTTTCTAAAAGAGTCGATGTAAATACCAACGTTTCCCTCGTCCACATTATAAAGCCAACCTGCATTACAATAACGTTCCTCCCAACAGGCATGTAGGAGTTTCATCGTTATTACGAGGGTGCGTTTATTAATAAATACCATTTCATTTTATGATGCTCGAAACGTAAGCACCTCGAAGTAAAAATTTATTATATATGTATATATATTATATACATAAATATCATAAAGTCGATTCAAAGCTTTACTTTTGAAAAATTGGTCCATTAAAATTATAATATATACTCAATAATTTTTTTTACACATAACAAAGCAGAAAATTTTTACATATTTTTTACATTCTTCTTTATTTGTTCATAAAATGGATGATATTACTTTTAAACTTTATCAATAAAGTTTAAGGTAAATGCAAAAAAGAACAAATTACAAATAAGTTTTAGTTTTTATAATAAAATGTTGTCTGTTTTTAAATATTAATATAAAAATTAGAGAACACAAATTAATTCAACAATTAAAGTATTTCTTATAATCAATAAAATTTATGTTTTATCAAACTTATATTTGGTAGAATGAAGATAAATAATATTTTAACGTATTCTATACCTCTTTTGGCTATATCTCATATGTTAAAATATTCGTAATATTAAAAATATTACATAATTTAATAAATATTTATATTTTATTTTATATTTATAACTAAAAGCTTATCAGTCAAAAGTTAAAAATTATTAACTATCCCATTTAACATAAAACTCACAAGCTATAAGTTAAAATGTATAATATATGTATAACATAATATATGATTATGCAAATATATATGAACATCCAAATAATATTGAGGATGTATACACTCTTTATGCAGATTCGATTCATTGCAACATGAAATATATTATACTTATAAATTGATACATAAACATAAACAATTTAAATTTGTTTTTATGCTTACTTGTTAAAGTTATATACAAATCGCTATGTGTATAAATTATATTATAATTGTTATATACCCATCTGCAAATTAACAACAGCAATTGTTTAAGTAATTATTTTGAAAGATTGTGTAATCATTTAAAGTTATAAAAATTATTTCATTACTTTAAATATATTAAGATATATATATATTATATAAAGATATATCTTGAATTATAATTCTGTAAAAGTAATCAAATTATACCTATAAATGAAGCTTAATAACTTAATTGTTTCTTTATTTTCATATTATTAATGAGTATAACTTAAATAAATGACTTATAGGTTCATAATTAGCAAACGTTTTTATTAAAATTGTACAAATGAATTTATAATATATTAATATTTATACTCATTGGTTTATTTTTTAGTAAGTATATGTTTGTTAGTTTTGATTATTAATTTAGTTCAGTTTACATAATTCTTATATTTTATATCATTAATAGATTTTACCAAAGGTGGGCATTAACTAGTTAAAAAGTTAATAATTAAGTTAAAAAGTTAATTTTTTTAAACTTTTTAACTTAACTAGATTAACTGGCAGTTGAAATAACTTATCTTTTTATAGTTGATTTAAAAAGGATCTATCTAATTAAAATTTTTTTTAAATTTTTCATTTATATGTAAATATTAATACAAAAATTAAATAATCATGTAAAGTAAAATGGTCGCATACACTGTAAATCAGATGTCATATATGATTTTGTAGGTAGGGGGGGCCACCTTTGGGTATTGGGTTCTGGATACAGAATGTTATGTACAAAGAATTTTAACTATAAAGATAAATAAATATGGTAATGAGTGGCCCCTTGATGTACATTGTATAATGTCATAGTATTTTTCAAACACCAGCGCCACAGCTGTATATTAAGATAAAAAATTCAATAAAATTGTTTATTATAATTTAGGAAATAAATCTTTCTGAAGAACAAAGTCACTTTTATATGATCTACTTACTAATTAAAAAAGTGGATTAACTTTTTTTAAACTGAATTAAGTTAATATTTATTTTTTTATTATTAACTTATAACTTATTGAGTTAAATTTATGAATTGTTAACTGTTAATTTTTAACTTATTGATCTTGTGTTCTCTTAACTTAACTTAACTCGAGTTAATTATTTTCATTAACTTGCCCACCTTTGGATTTTAGATTGCAGTTAAATAACAGCATAAATTATTATTTATTAAAATTATAAAAGGTCAATTCAAATTTTAAAATTGGTACTTTATTTTAAAAAAATGATAAAAGAAAGACGACAATTTACTTATTCAAAATAATTTTTTGTTTATCTCGAAATACTTCTTATGTATTTTAAAAACTAACCACGTAATAGTTTCAATTAAAATCAACAACTTTTAAATGACACTCCAATAATGAAAAGAGATTAACATAATATTATATAAAAATTGAAATAGAAATATAAAGAAGGGTAACTTTAATTCTGTATTTGTGAAGCAATAATGTTTAGTTAAACTAATACAAAAGGCATACTGATTTAAACGTATTTTCAAAATATGACGTATCAAATCATCTCTCCCTTATCCATTCTGCTTTTCATTCATTATAAACCGAACGTAATACCGATATTTGTTGGCGTCGAAGGAAGAAATATAATTCTCGATTTGTTACAGAAGCATGTATAACTATATACAGACATGCACGCCACTTGCAGCTGTCACTGAACGCAATCCATCAAAAACAAATGAAATAAAAACAAAGAAGAAAACAACAACGTACGTGCTTCGAAGTCCAAATAACCTCCCACCACACTTGTTAGGAATTAGATTATCTCGATTGCGCGTCTTGGCACTTTTCAGTAGTTTTCACGGTAAATGATCAACTTTTTCTCTTATGCGACTACGGTTAACACGAGATTTTGATATGAAGCCAAAGTACGCGCGATGGTTGTGAACTTATATCGGGCGTGGATATGTACACACAAGTCGAATAAAACAGTCACCCCTCACAAACATGTATAGTGCTATATATGTTGTGCTCCCTTTGGGGATAAAAAATGAATTGTGTCACCCGTTTTCTCTACATCTCACCAAACGAAACACCCTTCTATTGCAGCAGTATACGTGAAAACCCTCGTATTTCACCCGCAGGGTCAAATTAAAAGGACTGACGTTGGACGCTCGCGGTTTTCATAAGTAAAACACGGAATAGTGCATGATGCGTAAGCGCAATTAGAGAAGTCTCGGATGCATTATAATTCCCAGATAGACTGAAGGAGAAAAATGGAGAAATGTTCATGACGTTTAAATTTATAAAAATAAAAAGTTAAAGAAATATGTTAAATTCTAAGGGGAAAATGCATTAGATTTAAAAATTTAAGTTTAAAAAATGGACAGGATATTAGAAATATATTATGTCTTAGGTTACTGTTTAATTTAGAATAATTAAAATTACTAAACATATATCTAAGATTTACAATTTTATTAAAATATATTTTTTTAGCAAAAAATAAAACTATTATTTAAAAACACTTATAACAAAATACTAATCACTGATTAGTTTTTTATGATTTAAGTTCAATCCTGCTTGTTTACTTTTATGTAAAATTATTCTTAAAAATCCCGTTTAAAAAAAATATACCATTTATGGTATATTTTGGTGTAATGTTAAATTAATCCAATGATTTTTTTCACTAAAATACTAACTATAACTTAACTAATTTACAAAATACAATAGAAATTTAATTTGAGTTCTAAGGGTCAGTAAATGTTGCTATTATGTATTTATGATATACTATATATCAGAGGCGACCAAACTTTTTTCGACCACGATCTACTAAAAATATACTTCACCTTTGAAGACCGACTTTCTAGAAACATTTTTTTATAAACCAGAATAAAAGATAAAAACTATACAGATAAAACTTATCGATAATTTATTTATAACCACCACGATTAATTTTCGTGCATGTAGCCTAAAAATAAATTCTAACATGATCGACTCTGAAATCGTCCGCCATGGACCGTTTGACCGCCCCTGCAATATATGATCTATCGTAATTAAGTCATTAAAAATACATATTGCTAAATACTTTAACTGTTATTATGCTATATGGATCAATTCAGTATAATAAGCTATAAATCTAGATATTTTATAGTATAATAATCGGTATTACATTAAACTTAAATCTGAAATTTATTAATACATAAACATCAGGCATATTAAAGGTAACTTAAGGACGAGTAATAAATAAAAGCGAGACCCTAAAGATTAAAAAAAACCACAGGAAAATTAAATTTTATATTTTTTTTTTTGTGTTGTATACTTTTAAGGTCATAGTTTGAAAATATCTATGAAAAACAAACCCAAAATAATTTTGTAAATATTTTAGTATATCCAAGACAATACTCTAAATCAAAGTTGAAATGCATGCTTTCATGACTATGTAAGCAGTGTTGGGGATTACTACCACTATACCCCATTCAACAAAACTTATAGGTTTAGTTGGAAGATTCGGTGTTCTAAAATTCTGAATCCTTACATATATAAATAAATAATATCCCTCCAAGATGATATCAATTGCTTAGAACATTTTTCTAGACGTTTTTCTTGTGCACTACAAACTTCCGGTATATTTGCATGACTCTATGTAATTAATGATTTACAAGAATTTTAATAATATAATACAACTAATATAATATATAATTGATTTAAAAAAAATTATATCATTCATAATTCAAATACACCAATTATTTATAGAAAGATTGTTTTATAAATGTATTTATATAAAAAAAAAAAAAAAATTAAAAAAAATGTATGTATAATTAATCCAATATTCAAGGTTAATTTATCTAATAAAACAATGAATTAAGATATATATTAAAAAGTAAAATATTTATATATATTTGAAATAAAACTAAATGTGTTAATATTCAAATTATAATTTGTTTATAGAGGTAATTGTTCCCAATTTACAACTAGACCCGAATTAATGTTACACAATATTGAGAATTGTTTTACGATATTTAAGTTATATATTAATGTTTATTTACAACCTAAAATAAAAATAAAATAAGAATAAATTATTTATTTATTAAAATATAAACAGTTAATATAGTCAATATTATAACCATCTAAAGTAATACCAATTAGTAGATAGAGAATTTAAACGATTTTCAGAAAATATATATTTCAAATTAAATATGACAATAATTATCCAATTTTAAATAAAATTATAATTTAAGAGGTAAATTTTATGGTTAGTAAAGAAAATCAATACCTTATATGGAATTTATTTTATATTCATACCTTATAGTATAACTTTGATTTTAAGTAAAATAAAACTGTATATATATAAAATTAAGAAATGTGATAAAAAAATAAACTGGAGTCTTCGAAAATAGTTAAAAGTTTGAATCAATGTTTCTTACTTGCCACTTCCCTGGATGAGTTTCAAATTTCTAATGCCAAAATTATTTTTCAGTCACATTTTTTTAAATTTTCAACCTTCGAAAAACTTCTTCAACTTTTTTACAGTTTTTTTATATATTTTTTTTTCTAAACTATATATATTGTTATAGTTATGCTAATTCTAAGCTACTTTTCTCTAAGTAGAATTAAGTGTATTTTGAATTAAGCGTATTTTAATAATATACAATTGTTTATTTATACATAACATGCAATTATATAACAAATACTAATCAAAATGTTATAGATTTGAACAAAATACAAACTTTTTTTAAAAAAAAATGATCCATAGTAATACTTTTCTAAAAAAAGTTATCAACATTTTTTATTTTAATTAAAAAATTCAAAAATATTACTGGAAACTTTCATGTTAATTAAACCTTAATCTGCAAAGAAAACTATTTAATTACTCAAGGAAGAATTATTTATTACAACTTAGAATTATGTTGTTTAATATTTTTAAATAATTTAAACATTGAATATATTCGTATATTCAAAATGTATAACTTCGATATAGTATGAAAAAAATACAGTTACATCGTCTACTAAAATATTTTGAACTAGAATTTAATGTTTGACAGCTTTACGTTAAGTTTCATAACCAAAAGTCATAAAGTAACTATATTCATTCCATAACCTAAATCGCCAATATAAATTTCCTTTTAAAGATTTAAAGATAGTATAAGATATTTTTACTACCAAGTATTTCAAAGGTCTAGAATCGATATTTTCTGAAAATTATAAAAAAAGTATTATTTAATTTTTATACAATATTAAATTAATGTAAAAAAAGTAATTGAGTATTCACGATCAGTAATATTCAGAGCTAATAATGTTATTAGTTAATATTTAATGAAAATGTATGTTTAAAAGTATAGTCATAAACAAAGAATATAATTATTTTTTACTTAATTTATATTTTTCGACCATGAAATTTTTTACACTCATTTGAATGCATTACCAATTGATTAATTGAAAAATAATTTTTAAGATCACAAAAAAAAATGTTTGTAGCACTACTGTTTCCTTATTATAAATTAAAATTATTGAATTGAGATCCAAAATTGTCAAATAATGGAAATTATTATTCGTTATTTAAAATTACAGTTGAAGTGTTCAAAATCTTAAATGGTTGACAGTGCAAAGTGCTGCCATAAAAGCAAATCGATTAGATGGTCCTACCAGAAGAGACCCTATGTCTCTTCTATGTCCATTCCCCTCATAAGATGTCGTCAAGAACAATTTTTATTGCTTTGGGCCTTTTTGCTAAAGGAAGGAAGTGAAAAAACTCAACTATGGATGAATAAAGAGGGAGAAATGATAGATATTATATAACTGAAACGGAATAATGTCCTTAAGTTACACCATGAGCTTTTATGATGGGTTTTTGGTAAGGGAATATATTCAGATTATTGTCAGGTTGCATCATAATTTTTGTAAAAAAATTCTTATTTTTTGCTAACATTTATCGAAAAGCTTACTAAAAGATTTCAAATATTACTATCTTTTACATTTTAATATTTAAATAATTAAGAAAACAACTATATTTTAATAGTTTCAATGCAATTATATCATTGGGAGAATGAATACAGAAAATCCAAAAATATTTTTAATTTACAGTAAATTCATAGTAAATTATATGCGATTTAATAAGTTTAATAAATTCAATATCTAAATTGTTTTACGCAGAGTATTTAAACAGTAATATTTACTACATAATTTAATTAAATATTTTTATACTAATTTAAATTAAATAAAAAATATTTTAAACATCTATAATAATTATTTCACATGGTAAAAATCATAAATAAGATAGGTACCTACTCAACAATAATTAAAATATTTAGCGTGGTAATTAACTGTATATATTTTCAGCTAAATAAACAATATTAACTAGATTACATACTAAATTAACCTAAATTAGATAACAGTTTCTATTCTTTAAAAACTGTTAAGTCAATTTAAAAACTCATTAAAGTAATTACAAAAAGTTTAATAATGGGCTTCTGTCTGACCATCTGTGTCAATTTTTGTTCTATGTATAAAAGTCTTAACTTAGAGGTACTAGTTACAGTCGTTTAGTAATCATTGTCAAGTGTATCTATTACCACTGCAATATCAAAAATCATCATGAACCAATTACTTGTTTTCGTCGTTGCACTTTCATTCGTTTTTACCATTGCTGTCGCTCAAAGTGAAGAAGATTCAAATAACGCAAGTCTTGAAAATTCAGTAGATTCAGATATCGATTCTACAGTCGATACGGGATCCAATACCGCCAACGCAGACATAGAAACTGCCGCCGAAACCGCTAACAGTTTTATAGAGAAAGCCACAGAACCAGAAGAACAACTCAATAAAGCGGTACAAAATATGATGACGTATTTCACGGACTCAAACAAAGATATGTCTGATATTTTAGAAGATATTAAAAATATAAGTGAGAACAATAGTGATAGTATTAGAAACAACCTTGTCGACAATTTGATGAGTTATGCGGAAAACACTGAAAAGATGATGCAATATTTCCATATGGTGATGGGTATGAGAGCTCGATTCCAAGACTCAATTTTAAAACAATTGAACTCATTACCAATTAGCTCAGAAGACGCAGAAAAATTGGGAAATCATCTACGTGAACAGATGAAGCTCCGAGCAGATAAAATACCAAATATGCAAAATATGATGGCTTATCCACAGCAAGTATCAAAATTTATTCCGAGAAAATTTAGATTTATTTCAAATTAACATTTATTTATTATTTTATTATACAATATATCTCCAATATAATTAATTGTGTTGTAATGATTATACCTAAATAAAACATAAAATAATCTAATCCATATACATACTTGTATTAATCAATCATTAATTAATATAAAATTGCTATGCTATATTATATGTGAAATATTTAGATTTTTCCTTGATACATACTACATAATACTCAATATTTCACTTGGTAATATTCAAAAAAAAAATATATTAATATTAGTGTCTATATTAGTTACAACTACAAATGAACTTAAAATTGGTCTTCGGGTATATAAATTTTAATATATATACTACATAAATTTATATCAAACTGTAATTTTTATACAATTTGCTTTTTTGTAGAGTAAGACTATACTTGGTATTAAATAACTTGATATTTTTATTTAGGATTTAATAAGAATAACTTAAATAATAAAAACAGGTAATTAAAATATCATAACAATAAAAAAATATTAGTCTCAAAGTACATTAAGAAAATATAGAGCAATAGTTATCATCATGGGAATTAACAACAGTTTATGTATTCACATTTTACATATTATATAAGTATTAACAGGACAGTTCATATTTAATTTTTATATTAAAGATGTTAATATATTCACATAGTTTATGTAACCTGTGATATAAACTAGTTGCTAATACATTTATACTCCATTTACACTGCTTAAAATATAATATTTTTACGAATTATCGAAAAAAAATGTAATTCAGTAAAATAAAATACACTACTTATTTGACAAAAACGTAGAAATTGACTGTTTTATTAACACTCGACACGATTAATTTCTTTATTTAAGTCATCTACGTAGACACTTGGTAATGGTTTATAAATAATTAATGATTAATTTATTCTGAAAAAAACTATGTACACATAGATAAACAATTTATTAATATCGGGGAAAGCAACGACAACCCCAGGTTAGAGATTAGGGATCACTAACAAACCAATTCCATTTACAGTGAGAAAATTAATCACTAAGTTTATAACAATTAAATTCCACTAATTTTATTAATGTATTTTCTTATGGTACGCAAATTTACTTTACACACATATAAAATTATAAAAGCTTCTATTATCAACCAATGTTAATACAGTAGTTACTACATTCTTTTATTTTTAAAAAAGTTTATTCTCCTAATATAATATGTATTACCTTAATACTGTAGGACCATAGTGGAGACTCGGAGGCGGATGAAAATCCCACTTCTCCGCCGAATACGTAGACTTTGTCTTGATAAACGACTGCCGTGTGTTCTTGCAAATTCTGCAATGTATCTCCTGTCGGATGCAACTGTTCCCAGGTGTTATTTGCTGCAAATTTCAGAAAATGAATAAGGGAAATCATGAATAACATGGTATAATATTATACAGTACATTAATCGTTTTGGATTACCTTAGACAGTACTATACTTATAAAATAACAAACATAAATTACTTAAAATGTCAAATGAAAATTTACGTGCTTATTTGGGCTAAACTATGGTTTTAATACTACATACTTACACGTTTTGATTTAGCAATAATTTTATGGTATGAATAAAAATATACCATGTAAAAATAGTTAAATATACATGTGAAAACAAACTTTTGAATTTGAATTTTTACTTTGTAATCAATATTGTTTTCTATGTTTTTCTTCTCATGTATACATATTTTAAAAACATTCAACTTTTAAAGTAGGTGTATAAAAACAATTTCAAAACTACATTAAAAAAACGATATGTGCATTTTTCAATTGTAATTGTATTGTGTAAACTAATTTAATATTAATAATTTTTTTCTTGTAATTGTTTAAAAGTATTTACTAAATTGTATGACCTAAGTAAAAATAATATACAATATATTATTGCTCCAAAAACTAAAGGCATTTATTTAAAGGAATTTATTATTTATTTATTTTTGGTTACAAAACTAATGTTAGAACGAAAAAAATGTATTTATAATACACAATTATGTATGTACATATATTGATGTTCATAAGCAATTAATTCAAGTAAATATAAACAGTATTTTCTTGTAAAAATATCATTATTTTTAATTCGTTTTTCAAAAGAAAACACCCTTTTTTAATTAAAGATACAATAATTTAAAAATACAAACCCTCCTTATACCAACATATTAATCACAAGAGGAATTGTAATTCGATTGTTGTACATTATGTCAAAATTAAATTAGTGGCAATTTGTATTCAGACTACGTGTTATACTTACACAGAGCGTATCTCCATATGTCTTTTAGAGGCCAATTTCCATTCCGACCACCGACCACATAAATGTGGTTGCCATGAACAGCAGCGCTATGTTTGGATCTTGTCGGCGGAACGCTACTGTCGCTTGTAGTTGTTACCGGAGTCCACATATTACTGAACAATTAATAAATAAGAAAATCTTACAACATCAGTAAAGAAATTGAGACATAATTAATTACGAATGGTACGAGACTATTAATAAATATTTAGTTGTTTACAGTATTAGAAACAGTTCTCAAAAATTCTCAAATCGAAAGTAAAAAAAAAATAAAGTCCTAACAATTTTCAATACCATAATATATTCCGAAAAAACCAAATATTTAATTATGACCTTACGTTTCTATCATCACGTTTAAAATTTGATTTAACTATAATTATAAAATTGGCATAACTACTTAAAGCAGTGAACGCTAAATACTTTAATATATAATATTTATATCCCACTTGTGAATTTTTAAATATCTCACACCTCTCCCATAAATTGAAAAATGTATTAACCTTTTTTTTGTATTTCACAAATAAAATGATATAATATATATTATGGCTAAATGGACCGTAAAAGCTTAATATAAAAATATATATATTATGACTATTATTTATTTTTTCATTGATAGTAATAATTTATGCACTCTATGATGACTAATGTGTCCCAAGATCAATGTATTAATTCACCCCAGGTTGGGAAACACTATCTTAACAGTCGAAACAAATCAGTTTTTTCAAATGTGTATATTCTCAGCATAGAATAAGATTAATTTATACTTATTAATTTAATATATAGATATACTTTTTTTTAAAGTCAATTCAATTATCAATTTATACTGATGACAAATTTTATATTACACTATTACAGTAATATTTGCTATAAAAGATCGAAATGTATATTCATAATGGTTAATTATTCATTATTACATTATTACACAAATGTAAATAATATTTAAAATATATCATAAAAACTGAAAATTAAATATTATAAGATATTATATCTTATCTTCTTTTCAAGTTAATAAAAAAAAATAATAAAATAATTGAATAATAGGACTAAAACTCATAATGATTGTTTAACACGCGACTGGTAGCATTAATTGAAATGCCTCACCAACAAAATATGTTCGTTGAAAATACCATAATTGCTACTACCTGTTGTAGAAAATGTGTAAATAAGAAATACTATACGCCAATTGATAATAGTGGTTAACAAGTAATAATAAATTAATAAGAATTATGCTAAGGTTAATTAACCTAAGGTGTTAATTAACTAACGCAAACTATATATAGTTTTAATGGTTTTAAATTTCAAACTTAACACAAACTTCTTCACAGAGCAGGTTCATTCAAAAAAATATTCTATAGTTACTGTACTTTTCAACTTTTTGATCATTTTTTAAATAAATAAATATAAAAAAATATCTTATACACTTGAAGGTTCAACATTGAATTGGATAGTAGGTATATTATGATATGATATCGTATTTCCAATAATAAATGGTTTTATAAATGAGAATAACACGTTTACAAAATAAATATAACTTATAGTTAATTATCATATAAATTAGAATGAAATTTAATAAATAAATCTTTAATTTAAACTTTTATTAATTATATGATATATTCAGTAATATCTGAATTATCCTGCCTCCTTCAAGAAATATTTTCTCTTATACATTAAATTAATTACAATTGCTATGTAAATAAAAATAGGTTTCAAAAAGACAATAATCATTGTATAGCTTAATATTTACAAATATTTTAAAAATTTATATTATATTATTTTACATATTCCTCAATGAGTAAATATTAAAATCAAAATATTAATTTTAATAATTATAATAATTATTAATTATTACATTTTGACAAAACTAAAAATCTCAAATATCCATTACATTTTTGTAGTCAAATATCTTTATTTTTAATTCTATACTTAAAGCTTGATAGTTAGATGAAAAATTTTTCATAAGATTTTTTTCGTGGAAAAAAAAAGAAACTTGAAAAATCGCAAAAATTATTAACAAGCGTTATAGAATTAAATTTTGGCGAAATCGAATGTTTCAAAAACTTTCGTTTCCGTAAAACGATATTAGTTATTTACTTAAAGACATTTCACAGATTCTACTGTTTACAGTTTAAAAGTCTACTGTTCTAGTAATAACAATTTTGAAAGAAATTGAACATCGTACATTCATTCCAGGTCTCAGCATTCCTTTAAGCTGTATGACGTTTTGCATCTTAAATCTGAAGGACCTGAATATTCTCTTAAGTTCCCGTGACTATAAGAAATGCATAAAGTTCGCTATCTAAAAGCCAATGCACTTGAGAGTTTGCCCTTACAGTTTCAGCAGCTCTTTGAGCTGTGTGACGTTCGGCATCTAAGGTCAATCGGGTTTGAGTCTGTTTCTCAGATTCTTGTCTTCTAGCAACTTTTGTAGTGCCAATTCCGTCTGAACAATGCGTTAGATTAAATTTGTATTTGCAAGGCATATCGAAGTAAAAAATAAGCAAAATATCTACAAAAAAAAACAAGAAGAACCGAAAAACTACTGTATTTTACCGGAAAACATTAACGAATGCATAACATCTTGTAAATACAATACACGTCGTTCCATATACATAGATTATTATTTTTGGGTGTGGTTTAAGCAAAAACAAAATAACAACAACTTTCCGTTTGGATAGCCACAAATAATAACATATATTACTAAAGTTTCTCTTTCCTTATTTCACGACAAATTATAGTCTATGTTCTTCTCCAAGATCTAATCTATCTCCATGCCAAATTTTATCAAAATCGGTTCAGTGGTCTAGGCGTGAAAGACAGACCGAGTTACATTCATAATTGTAATATTAGTACCTAGAAATTATATTACACGTAAAAAATATAAATAATCAAGTTATCAGAACAAATTATTTAAAAAATACTTCTCGCATATTTTCAATAAAATTAAAATGTCTTTTTTATTTGGATTGCATTTTAAGTTTTTTATTAATTACCTATCACTACAGTACAGTAATGAAAACTGATATAAATTTAATGTTAGTTAATAACCAAATACAGTTAAATAGTAGCTAAATTATATATTTTAAGCACATAACTAGAAAAAAGTACTTTACGAAAAATAATACAAATATAATAAACTGTACTCAAAAAATATTGAAACATTTTTCATTTTATAAACAATAAAATACACATTTTAAACAACATATTAATGATATATTTAAAATGATATCAGATCAAAATTATAAGATATTCAACTAAATCACAAATATCTAAACAAATAACATAACTTATGGTTCACGTTCTACAATGTCGTTTTATTTGTCGTACATAATCGAAAAGACAATATTATTTTTATTAAGCTTTTATCTTATCATCAATCGCTACGTAGTTATATGGTATAGTAGTGTATAACATCTTTCCGGGGACGGAGTAACATAAATTCCCCGAGGGACGTTCTTCCGACAACGATGATGGACAGAATGATTCCCCTCGGAACGATATGTGCGTGTGCGTGTAAGAAGTTTTTTCGCTTTTCCCTCCTCCAAATACGCTTTTATTTTTTTTCTCTAACGACAAACCCATATACGAGAATCCTCAAGTTTAGAACGACGAGGGATGGAAATCGTGACCACGCACCGCGGTTGCCAAGAAGGGTCGTTTTTAGTAGGGGAGGTGGGCGATTCTTCAATAATTCAAAGTTCCAAAACGAGGGATCTTTACTAACCAACAGCACATCAATTGCCATAAACCTCAGCCGGTAGACACTTGTGTTTCAACACTATACGTTCATCCATAAGTCTCAACATAGACGAAAGCTTTCTCTGAAATTAACTACTATGATGAGAAAAAAAGACTAAATCACACGCAAGCTGTCCATGCGGACTAGCAACTAGCACCAACGTCTCAATCTAAGAACTATGTATACAAGTCACGTAAACCACTATTTTCAACCTCGATAAACATATTATAATATGTACAGCTTACATCACACGCCATCACTTTTGTTGAATTAACGATTCTTTTGGGATAGAAAAAAAAAATAACTAGCTGATTTTGTGAACCTTGAAATAGTGAAAATCTAACGAAAATAGATGAAATAAATTTAGTTTTCATTTAATTTTACTCCTGTTCACTTTACAACCCCTTGAAATATGTAATATTATATTTGGAACATTCAACTTTCGATGTTACAAAAATAAATATTGTTACGGACATACATAAATATAAGTCCTCACGATTACCAATACAAGAAAATACCACATAAATAGCTCTAATTATAATCATTAAATACAGGCATCAGTAGCACTGGTTCAATGACTAAAATATCGTGGGATAAAGCAAATAAGCAAATACACGACACAGGATGTTCTATATTTGTTAAATATAAATACATGTGGAAAGTAGCAATGTGACTTGCTGCAGTCGTGGGGCGTTGACCACTCAAATATACGATAGGTAATAACTAATATGCAGTGCCGTTCCTAGATTTTGCAAGGCCCTGGGCATCATTAGAATTCGAGGCCCAACAATATTATATCGAATTCATAGGTACACCAGAATAGCGGTCCTCAATCCATATATCTATAATCTATTTATACATTGTATTTATATATATATTATTGTACAAACGCGAGGCCCTTGGAGGCACGAGGCCCTGGGCGAGTGTCCCGTTTGCCCTGCCCTCTGGACGGCACTGCTAATATAGAAACGTGTGCATTTTAGCTAATCGATGTAATTATTAAAATATAAAACACTACTTAGAACAAAACCCTGACCATGCCTGGTTAAGCATATTATTCTCTTGGGAGAAGGGAGGACCTTAGTATTACACGAGAACAAGGTATATAAAATCCCGAATTAATCAATATTTAGCTGTGTTTTAGTCCGACCATAGCTTCACTTTCACGCCAATTTATTTAATAATTAAATTAATTTAACTTAGTATTATTTATATTAAAGTTATTATTCTAAACCTAGAGTTAATTTATTTCACATATATAATATTAATATATCGATTACGAAGCTGCTCAATTATTGGACTCTACTCTCACTGCACTAGCTCGGATACATTGACCAGCAAGCAACAATATTAATAAGCACTAATATATACTAGGAAAAATATGACGAATTAAAATTCAAAAATACTATGATGGACATTCGAAGTATTTTTTTTTTTTAATAATAATTATTCAGGCTTATAATTATTATGTAATGTAATCATGAACATTACTAAGCTAAATAATCAAAAGAAGCAATTTAAAAAAATCTACCATGTAACCAAATGTATTAATATTGTTATGTATATTAATATTTTTAAATTATATTTATTAATTTGTTACCTTCCATATCATATTTTATAAATATTATAAACATCATGAATTTCATTATGATAATACTTCTTTAAACAAAACATGATTTTTGATTATATATTTTACTTTTTATATGATACGAATAAAATATTTAAATACGATATTTATTATATGACATGAAAATCTAATGCAATCAACGAGTCAACACTCATATTGACTTACCAAATACACAATATAAATGTAAATTTACTCAGAAACTTTTAACTTTATAGTTGTTTCTATATTTTCAAAAATAAAAATAGTTTAAAAAAACATAAGACAGTTTTACAAATCTACATAGGTGTCATGAATGCATAAAATATAAATATGAACCACATGTTTAAAAATAGTGATGTTTGGTCGTTTCTTGTTAATTTTTTTTTTCTTTCTATTTTTCTTAGGAGATAATCCCAAGGGGATATTTTTCTCTCCACATTTTTATTCCTAAAAACTCAATTTCTTTCTTAGTTCGTTAACTTTAAAATGCAAAATACGTTTCCTCATGAAGTACCAAGTTCTTCTGGTTGATTTTTATTTTATTCGAAATCAAACAGAAAAAATAATTCACAACGTATTTTTCAAGAATCTAAAAACCATATATTTCTTGCAACAATCTTCTCCTAAATATAAATGTAAGAATACCTGCAATTTTCAAGTGGGATTCGGGTAAAATCATTTCTTATAGAAACATTGTTACAAAAATGAACATAAACATTAAGCTCCCAAGTGACCCCATAATTTCCAAAAGACCATACTGTTTGCAGTTTAAACCAATTATCCACGCAGTAAGAGTAACATATACGAGTACAATACGTATTTTAGTAGTAAATTCGGCTATTGATTAGATAAAATTACTTTCAAATAAAAACAAATAAATAAATAATAGAAAAGTATACCAGATTAAATCTCTGTATTAGCTAATTTTATAAATCAATTTATTTCCTATAAAGACGTTTATACTACTTTAGTAAGAAAATTAATTTTAATTAATGAATATATAAGTCCAAATTGTTCGTGTATTTTAAATTTACATATAATTTATACAAAATAAAAATATTTTTAAGCAACTATGTACTTCGATATATTTTAGAAAAAACTGAGAAAGTCTCGAATCCAAAAATTAAAATTGAATAAATAACTATGATATCTTTTATGTATTATTATGTCACAACATTTTATTATTATCTAGCTATTTATAATTCTGTTTTTATTTTATATTTTTTACTAGTTATCAGTTTATCACTATTTATGTATATAGTGTATATTATATAATATATTTTATTTAGTTGAACGAAAATGGATGTGATAATAGTCATAACAATTTAAAGTTAAATTAAATAAAAAAATTAATAATTATAAATTAACATATCATACACATTGTAGAAAATAAAGAAAACCAAAAAGAAATTATCATTTTTATTCCAAATTCTAAAAAGCAAAAAACATAAATCAAAATTTTAAGATTGTTTTACTTTAAACATATGATATATATGAGGAGTAATATTTAGGCTTATCATATAGTCCCCAAAACTTGTTAAGCCTTATAATTATAACGTAATAATAGTAGGTGGACGCTTGCATTTCTGAAAATTAGTTGGGATACTCCGTCCCCCCTGCGTCTCCTCAATATAATTTGAGACTAAATAGGAATAACTTGCCCAAAGGTGCATTGAACATTCCTATAATAAGATCAATGTCACACTAAAGGAATTTTTGCGGTGGAATTAATGTATTATTAAAAGGCGTATATTTAATTACTACTGGACACATTAAAGAGGAACTTCCGTGTGGAAAAAAATAAATCACTACACGTCGTGATTATTCTGCCATGTGGTGACATCAACCTAAATCATAGGCGCAATTTAAATTTTTTACTTGGGGGGGAACTGGAAAACGTATATTGAATAGAATAGTGGGAGGCTAAAAAAACATTTAGGGGGGCTACACCACTCTAGCCCCCAAAAAGGTTATTTTCACTCCTTAGCAATTATTATAAACTAAACGTTTATATTGAAAATGTCAAAATAAACAAAATTATATTGGAAACACGAAAAGCGACTATTCGAGTTATATAATATTTCCAAAACATTTAGGTTTTTATTGTAAAATCGGTTAATAATAACCCACGAATTTCACTGTAAAATTGAGATTTTGGGAGTGGATCGAATAATAAGTATTTGGAGAAAAAAAAATGCTAGCTCACTAGCTAAACTATCGATTGAAAAACAGGAGTAAGGAGTAAAGATTAGAGGTAAAACGAACCGCTGGATTGGTTCAAGAATATAACTTTAAAAGCAGTTCAAATTCGATGAACGAACCCAAGTTGTATATAACCAGATCCAACTAAACTCAATTAAAAAATCTGAACTTAAACAAGCATGCTGAGTCCGAAATTTAAAAAAATGAACTTTCTTTAAACTTGGGTATTTTTTTTGATGAATAAAGAAGTACAAAACTGTTTTATAAAATTATGAAATAGGTTCTAAATGAATGTTAAATTAAATTTAATCAAATAGTCCGGTTCGACGTTGAATACAACGTAATGACAAAACATCGTTTAATTCGACATAATCAACTGGCATCGATTTTCATGAAAATACATGAACAGCGGCGCACTATAATAAAAACTACTGCAGAAAACACGTGAAAAAGAGACCTACCCGGCAGTAAAAGCGATTGCGATACGGCTAGCGCGACCGCGACGAAGACAATGGTAGAGATAGGATGCGATAAGATTATCGACGGTGGCCGCCGCCGAGTGTGTGGTGTTCGGGAACGTTCCGGTGTGTCATCTGCACCGCGGTGTACTTGTTCGGGACCGTGCACGCCTGTCCGGCGAGCTGTTCGGAGCCGTGTTCTGTTCGCTGTGACCGCCGAGTCGTGCAGCTGCTAGCAGGTATGCGAGATGAACAGCACGCGCGCGCGCGTGTGTAAGTGCTTTGAACAGTATGCGCAATGGGGTGATGTCGGAACAGAGTACGGCTGAATACTGAACAGCGGCGCGTCGCCGAGCGACGGGTACACGACGCGAGCGGATGGCGCGAAACGCTCGTCCGGACGTGCCGTGATAAGGGAGGCGCGCGCATGCGCCCCCGTGCTCACGCACACACTCGCGACTCTTACAGTCGCCGTCGCGTCGTGAATGGGGTGCGCGCGCGTTATTGATTGCTCTAATAATCCACCACCGAACCCCTATACATCAGGAGCGGGGGTGGTGGCACAGACTCGACAATATTACTCTTTGTGTGCAACGGGACCGGGGATGAAAAGGAAACAACGTATACGGCGTGTACCTAGCGGACAACGTATCACAAACGTATAGTATGTGTAGGTATGTTGTATACATCACTCGGTACCTATTATACTGTTATTGTATATAATAAAGTATAAGGTATAATAGTGCAGGAGTCGGCAAGTAACTTTTATTGGAGTTTGGAAGATTAAAATAATAAATATAAGTGGTCCGAAGAAAACGTGTGCTTTATTACATTATTTTCTAGTTATTATCGAAAATATTTAGAAAAAATTAAATATTAACTATGAATTATGAAAGAGCCGTAATATAATTTTATTAAATAAAATCAAATGCCATTTTTTTTCTTTTATCTTTATAAAAATTGATTTTTTTTTTTTTACGAAAGATCCAGTTGTCCAGTTGTCCGCCAGTTGCCGACCGTTGTTAAACAATGGTACAGGGCGGTACAACTGTTCAGGTGCGGCGGTATTCATGTATTGTGCAACGAACACCGTGTATACAGAAATACAGAGGTGGTGCGCGTGTACATTTCTTTCTCGTTTTCCATCTCGTCACAACCCCGTAGCGAAATTAACGGCCTCCGTGCGAAACAAGATCTATTGTACGGAGGAACGCGCGCACGTTTACCGGCGGAGGAAAACACGGTCCTGTGCGCTACGCGGTGCCGTCGCGGGTCAACAACCGCGTGTGTAGTGTGCACAACACCACGCACGTACGGTCTGTCACTTTGTCGCCACCGAGGCCGTTATCGTTTAGCTCGTAAACGCCATCCGCCGCCACCGCAACGCATCTGCAACGTATGCGTTACTGTAATACCACGTGTTACGCGTATGTACCAGCCGCGCATTGGCTTTACCGTATCCATGATTGATGTACACCCATGCCCCTATCCCCCACCACAGCATCACCCGAAAATCCTGCTCCTGTCTGCCGCCCCGGGTCATGGATAAAAGATTGCAAAACATAAAGCGAGTCGTTGCAAACACGACTTCAAAGTAACAACTCGTGTACTCGCGTCCTTTAGCGCCGAAGAGTGAAAAAAACTGAATGGCAACAAACTGAATAGAATATACGCTGTACAGCATAGTGGCCAGCCAGATTAGTCTGAAAATATTTAGGTCATTATGAAGAGGTTTCAATTATCAGGTTTAGCTTAACCACCATCTACACGCACGCATGCACACGACGTGATGGCAGTAAACGACGATGTTCTAGTAAAACGATTTTTCGACGAATAAAAAGAAACAATTTATTCCCCTGACGTACGTTCTCGGTCGGATAACCAATATTTTACGTCGCGTCTTCATCAAAATCGACGACACTGCGGGTAGTTTACGAATGCTCGCAAGAATGAATCTTTTGTTCTTGATTCGAAACACGAGGGTCCATTAAATTACATTTTATCGATTGTAATGATTTGCGCCTAAGCATTTATATAATTTTTAAAATTGAATGTATAATTAAATAATTATAATATTCGATAGTCATTGAGTATAATAATAAGTCGTAAGTATTAAAGATAAGATATTACACACACACATCATACATAAGGAATATAGTTTTTTAGTTAGCAGGGCGCGTTCTTGTTGTCCTTTTGTAAAGACGGTCAAAGGCGAGTGTATAAGACTACGCAGATCATCTATGCAGAAAGACATAATTAGTTGTAAAACATTCTGTACAAATTAAAAATACATGTATTAATGAATGTAAAAAGAAGTTTAAATAAAATTATTAAAAGTAAATAAAAGAAAATATTATTAATATTTTAAAGTACGAATTGGTTACCTAATCTCATTCCTCAAACATCAACCGCGGTTTTCAACAAGCAGGTCAGCATAATCACCGGAGAGATAATATTAAATATTTATAATATAATAAGTAATGATTTAAAAAAACATATAAATACTTCACTAATAAATTAACATATAAGACTATAATTTTTTTTAAATCATTATACGGTGTATATATATAATTATAAACGTGTAAAGTCTTGTAAACTTAATAATAACGAACTGTTCGAAAATATCAAGTTGTCTATTATTTATAGTACAACGTTATACGTCTAAATATTATCCAACATCAAATTAAATGTAACATGATAATTTGTCAGCCTAATATTCAAAAGAAACCTACATAAGATTTCGGAGTAGGATTCATTAAATAAAAATGACAATAAAACAGGGTCACCTTTACAAATAATTAATCATTCTAAAATGTTTAATTAATAAGATAAATTGCCCTGTTCTAAACCTATTAAATACATTTTAACATATTCATACTTTATTTTGAGTCTACTAAAGCACTCCACATTTTTTTTTCGTAGATTTCTTTACTATTTTCTAATTAAAACTTGGGATGATAAAGCAAAAAAAATAAATCCCGTGGAATGTATTTTTCATGAGACAACTGACAAAGACAAGGGACCAGATGCTTGTCTTAATAAAAACATTAGTGAAAGTCTAACCCCAATACGTATTTCCGAACCAAAAAAAGTCACGAATAGTTCTTGAACACAAACACAACTCAACTTATTAACTATTTTCAAAATAAGACAAATTAAGATTAAACAATTTGTTTTCAACAACCACAATGACTAATTACTTTGCGAAAAACATGTAATGTTAATAGGATATAATTCAAAATTAGTAAACTTTTCAAAATTAAATTAAAGTACTTAGTTTTACGTAGTCTGTAATACAGGTATAGTGATTTCGTTTTAGAACTTTTGACCTACTTGGCTACATACGCTTCAAGTATAAGGCTTCAACAGCTTTTAACAAATGCAAAACCAATAATTATATTTACTAAAACATAACAATAACAATAGTTTGAAATATTTTTGTTTTTTATTTTACTTTTACTTATTTTGTACTTTGTTATAATAATGTTTATATTATACATATTATTATTATAATTAGTATTATTATATATATTATATATATTTATTTATTATCTATTATTATACATCAAATATGAGAGAAATAAGGTAGTCGGGTCCATACTTAGTAAAAAATCAAATAAAATAGAAGCGTAACTTTCAAAACACAGACAGGTGTTAAGGAAAAAAAACTACACAGAAGTCAATTCTTAATGGATCCGGTATTAGATTAAAAAAAAAACCACAAATATTAAGAATTCATCTAATTTAAATATTACCAACAATTTTACTTGTACATTTTGAGCCCGAATAAAAGAAAAAAATTAAGTCCTCCTCCCCTCCTAGAAATAAGTCTAAATACGCCCCTGAAAGAAACAGTATATAAGCAATACTAATATTATTTGGGATCCGGCCAAAATAGTGAAAAAATAACCGCGAATGTAAAAATTGCGAATTAATAATGGCGAAAATAAAAACAGTAAATTTTAAAAAAGAGCGAAAATATACAATTTAGTGATAATAATTTTGAAACAACAATTAGGCATTTAGTGAAAAATTACTTAACATTTACAAAGTTCTTATTAGTATTAGTATTATAATTTATAATTAACGAATGAAGTCTTTTACCACAGTTCTTGTACTTTTTTTTAATCTCTGGTTGTTCTATAACATTATATTGTTCTCGTTTTAATTCTTCTAAATTTCGAATTTTCTTTATTACATCAATACATTTCCACATAGTTAAGTAGCTTCCCGCTAAAAAATATTTATTATAATATTAAAAATACTAAATTATTAATAAAATAGGTTATAGTTTTACAGTTTTATAAGTTTTGAAACTTACCCAAGTACTATATTAAAATGTATAGTATTCAAAATAGAAATTATAAAAAACTCCAGTTGCGTTATTGTGCATGATCGTTTATTTTAAAATTCGCTATTTTTATTTTCGGTGTTAATTGCTTCGCTATTTTGGCCTAGAATCATATTTATTTATAAAAACTAAATACATTATTCTATAATCAATATCATCTATATGGAATTATGTATGCGTTTATAAACACTATATGTACCTATAAATAGGTTTATAATAAACACAATTAAAGCTTTAATTTTACATTAAATTTTAAATTAAATGCATGTACCTATCATGAATGCATAATAAATAACTTTTATATTGTAGAGGATTTAGCATGATTAAATAATTATTATTTGGCAATCAATAATTGTTTATGTAATTCAGCAACTGATCTATTATTATTGTTTAAAATATCGCATATTATATTTCAATAAAAAAATTTTTTTCAATAAAAATTAAGTAAACATAAAATTACTAAGGTACCATACACCTTATAATATTAGGTATCAAACCGTTATTCCAAACAATAAAAACGATTAAAAATTTAAATATTATGTTATTGCTATTTTTTTAATTTGATCTATCATTTTCAATTCACACGATATTAAATAATTGGGTAATACATATTTTAATAATAATTCAAAAATAAAAAACAGCCATATATAACACACTATAGGTACTACAGTAATGGTATATATACCAGCTATCCCGACTGTCAACAATTTAGAACTACTGTAACCTACAATAAAAATATAATTTCATTAACACAAATAGACGACCGATCACTGAATTCCAATGAATTGAAATGTAATCCCGTTACAATCATGCACATTCAAATCCTTCAAAAAATATCCTTAACTACGTCATTGATAAATTATATAGAAACAGGTGTCCTGTTGTTAGCAGTACAACTATAATGAATAAAAAAATTTCATGAAATTATCATACGGATCAGTGTTTATTTCAAACCTTCTATCCCGGGGGGGGAGGGTATAAGATATTCGGTATGCCATAGAAGAAAAAATAATTAATAAATAAACATTTTCTGGATGGTATACACTTTTCTTTGGTGGGTAATAAAGATTAACTCCCCTCTCCAATTGATTCTTAAAATAAACACTGATACGAATATCACCTCTTTTTTTTTATTCTTATGAAAAGTCACCGCCGCATTCGACTTGTAAATGATACGTATAACAATCACATTTTTATGATACTCAAGAGACCTAACCAGTACCTCGTAAAATGCATACCAACATTCTTTGACGCAGTAATCCAATAAAATCCGCAGAACAGAATATTCTGATTAAAAGCGAAATATTTTTGTTGATTGTATTTACAACAGCACTGATGTTAAATTGTATTACGTATTTGCTCAAAACCATTTTGATAAGAACATGAGATCAAAAATATCTACCTGAGAACACGGTTACCTAAATTAACATCACAGTATCACACCACATAATATGATCAAAAATAGTAGAGATCTCTAGTCCTTATGATAATGATTTAAAAACTGAGAACGATCCTCCGTCACAGTATCAACATATTAACACAACGCTTATTTTTTTTTTATCAAACGTTTTGATAGTAAGATACCTACACAATATCCTGATTTATGTATTTACTTGGTAATATTTTGTGAGCACAATTCTTGAGGTTTTAAAAAAAATGTACTATATCTAAATATTTATAAATATAATTAAATGTTTCATTTCACAAAAGGCAAAATATTTTCAAATCAAAGTACTCTATTACTACAAAATACAAATACAGTAGAACCCCTCTCGTCCGCCCAAGACAGGTCCACCACTTCGGTTGATCTAACCATAGTATTATCAATATGAATATGGATTTTCCAATGTATAATATATGGCTAGATATATTTATAAAATGAATTGCCCGTTTACTATTTATCTACTTTTTATTTATTTTATTATTTATTTAATTCAATATATGTATATAATTAAAAATAATATTTAAAATAATTTAATAAATAAATTTGGTAACATTTTGTCTTCAAATGTTTCTTTGTATTCTGATAATACGACCTTTTTCGCGTTCCGACCACACTTCCAGTCCCGAAGGTGACGGATTAGAGGGGTTCTACTGTAAGCTTTTTACTATCAATATTTTAATTGGTAAATTATTCTCGTTTCGACTACATATTTGTGAATTTGAATTTCGAAAACAAAATATGAATAAATTAATAAAACTTTTACTGGTAATGTTTTATATATTCTGTTGTTTTTCAAACAAATTGCAAAATAAGTATTTAAGTTATTCCTTAAAAAACTTTAACAAATAATATTCAAAAAATTAAACTATGGTGATACGTTCAGTTCTAGGGACTAAAAAATAAATTATTGTAACTGTTACTTACCATTGATGAATTTTATAAATTAAAATCGTTCATGTTTTGAAATAATAAATTAACACAATCCACAGATAAATATAAATATTTAATAACTACTATTTAAAATTCATATTTTTAACTAATAATAACAAAAATTATATTTATTTTTGTAAATATTAGCCAAGTGATAAGTTATCAATATGGTTGTTGAATTATCATTGTCTGTTGATAACTAATGACAACAAGTATCAAAATTTATTAATAACATGTTTTAATGTTTAACTGTAATAATAAAAAAGAAAATATTTGCAAATACGATTTATTTTCTATAGAGGATATCTATTTATCTCTAAAGTAGGTACTACCATAAATTAAATACACGTATAATAATATGTATATTTAATGTATGGTACTATTATAAAGACCATAAATTGTGCATAATTATCCATTTTTCGTAGACCCTGTTACAAAAAATGTATTTTGTACAACTCTTCACCAACAAATTCAGTAGCATTTGTTAATGTTAATATAAGTTAATAGATTAGTATTTACATAATAATCATACACTCAAAGATCTATTTTTACAACTAGAAAAATTGAAAGATTAAATTGCATTTATCCAATCATAGCAATAATTATGTTGTATATTTGTATTAAGGCATATACTAAAAAATAGTTTTACATACCATATATAATGTTCCTGATTTAAAACTTTAAATGAGACTGAACAATATTGATAAAATAAATTTCAATATTAATTTAAAAATGATGTGTATTTTATACTCAATGTATTTTAATTAAAAATTATAAACATTATTTTTTATATTTTAAATAAAATATTTTTCATTTGTCAAGAAAAGAGTTTTCATATTAAATTGAACTTAATCATTTTCATAGAATATATTAGTAGAAATTATATACTTATACTTATTTTCGGTGCTATAAATTAGAGTTGTTTTTTTTTTTTTTTTTGGGAAGTACCTTTTGATAAAATTTTAACTTGATACATTAAAATATAACTTTTTCTTCTATATATTTCTTACAGTTTTCACTTTTGTTTGAGACCAAAACAAAAATAAATAAAATACATATTATGCATTGTATAATTTAATAAAACAGAAAAAAAATTTAAATTGTGCATAGGAATAATAAGTTTATATTATAATACATGTTCTGCGTCACATAATTAACAATAAATTAAATAAAAACCAATTGCAAAAAAATAAATAAATACTATTTTATTCAATCATATACTTTTAGTATTTCAAATCACTATACTAAATATTTAAAATGTGTCAAATAAAATAAATTAAACAATACAATGCTTACTTATACTTATTTAAATACATTTTGTGGATTTGTACAAAGACAAATTAATAAGGTGGTGGTTGCAAACCATAAGGATGCCCTTGTTGTTGTTGTTGGGGATTTTGCATTTGCCTTTGCATGTGATGTTGTTGCTGCTGTTGTTGTTGTTGTTGCTGCTGTTGCTGCTGTTGTTGTTGTTGCATAGCCATTATATGTCGAATACGCTGTTGACTTAGTTGCTAGAACAAAATCATTTTTACATTGTAACTTAGTATAAATTACTTAATTACATAATACATTTAAAATTTAAGTGATAAGTTAATACATTTTTAAATTTAATAATAATAATTTTTTTTTAATATTAACCTGATGGTATTGAGAATTTTGTGCTTGTTGGTTTGGACCAGCTGGGCGAGAATATGGAGGTGCTGGATTCTGTGGACCACTCATCGGATTCATTGGAACATTTTGATTCTATTCGTCAAGATAAATATAAGATAAAAAAATTTATCAATTTTCAAAACTAAAATATTTTTAAATTTTATTATAAAGATATTATACAAATAAAAAAAGGATATATTATAATTTAATTTGTAAACATTTTGAAGTAATATTTATTGTTATTTAAAATATATTGGGATTTTAAAACTCACACTAGTTGTTATTATATAATATTGAATATAATATAATACTAATGTAGTAAGTCAATTTTATATTTCAACTTAATTTATTTGATGATATTTAAAAATTTTAAAAATAATATTTTAGAAGTGAGTAAAGTAAATACTTAATCAAATATATATATCTTACTTGCATATACGGTGGTCTCATTCCAGGTTGTTGTCCAACATATCCTCCATAGTTTTGATTCATACCTATAGTTAAGTAATGCGATATATTTTGAGAAATTGCATGAAGTATAATTTATACTTACTTTGTTGCATATTAGAATACATTTGTGTTGGTTGCTGTGTTGGGTACATTTGTGAAGCATTTTGCTGAGGAGGTTGAATTGGAACATTATGTTGTCCTCTTCTAATAACATAAATTACACATTTAACTAATAAAATAAAAATGTTGATAAATTATATAATTTACCTTATAAATGGCTGTCTAGTCATTGGTTGGAAATTGGGATTTATATTTGGTTGTTGTCCTGTTTGACCTGCATACTGATTAGTAGGCAAACGCATGCGAAGCATATGACTCAATGCTTGTTTAGAAGTATTTCCTGGACGATCAAATCTTGATCCAGGACCTTGGACAGGTGTAGGAAGCACTTGCTGAGAATAAAAATTAGGACCAGTTTGGGGTGCTTGTTGTCCATAACCGCCCCACTGAGGATTTTGTGTTGGAGCTGGCCCAGGTGTAGGACCTGGGACAGGACCTGGACCAGGTCCTGGACCGGGCTGCATGGGAAACATACCACCACCTGGACCACTATAGCCCATATGCTGACCCTGTGAATTAATTTATGCACAAAAATTAATTAAATTTGAACTTAAATATTAAGTACATAAATATTGATGTAAATAAACAAAAATTACCTGCATTTGGGAATGCATTTGAGGACCTTGACCCATTTGTGCATTAGGTGTCATGGGCGACATAGGAGGAGGTTGTTGTTTCTTCCGTCTAGAGTTAGGTGGTCCTTGAGATTTAATATTGCGTTTAATACCTCTACCTGGAGACTCAGGTACAGAAGACGGTGTATCTGGACGTCCTGGTCCTGGACCTATGTTCATTCCAGAACCCACTCCTTTGATCTGATTACAATAAACACAAGGACACTACATTTACGAGTGAATGTACTGTTCTTTTCAATTTCCCATAAAAATGTCAACTTAAAAGCCCCCAGGTAAATGAAAATAAAACACTTTATCGAAACTCAAAAATAAAAAAAATAATAAACAATAATATAGAAAACAAATTGTAATAAATATATACATTTTTTTTCCACAACCAAAATATTTTTAAAAAATCATTATAATAATATGGTAATGAAATCAGGTACATATATTTAATTCATAATAAATCAAAATCAATTTCAAATTATGTACTTACAGGTTTCTCTTGAGGAGGTTCTAAATCTTCAGGAGGTAAAGGCAATGGTTCTAAGAAATATGAAGCAGGCTTCACTAATGAATGTGTATGAAACTTTAACATTCTGTGGTTTTCTTCATACCATAAAGGTTTACGTTCCACACGCACAGCACTAAACCATGACCATGAAAGAGGAGCAGGATTTTTATGTCCTTCTAAGAGATCCCAAGCACTTACACGTTGTTTATCACACACTTTTAAACCTTGTTTGTCATTTGAATCTAAACCTGTTGAAATCTTGTTTCCTTTGATATCAGTACCAATTTGCTCACAAGTAATTATCTCACACAGCTGTTTACCCAAAGGCAGAAGCTGTCTTACTTGTGAAATTGACAAAGAGTGTTTTTCTCCGACTTCCTATAAAAAAAAAATCAATTATTAAATATACACTAATACACATAATATAAAATATACATATAAATAAAATACCATGAATTAAGTACATTTAATTTTAAATAATTTTTACTTTTTTTAATTTTTTTATTAAATTTTGATAGTGTTTTCGATTTTCTTCTCCTTTTTCAGTTTGAGAATCAGACACAAGAGTAGAATGTATTAATGTGGCCAACATATCTATAACCGTATTGAATAATTTCCTATAAACATTTTTTATATTAATAAACAGGTACATATATATTAAAAGATTAGAAATAACCTATTTATTTGATTAAAAACTTTATTTTAACATATATCTTACGTGTTATTAGTCAAGTCTATTACTGAATATGTAACAAGTTGAACTAAAAGAACTGCCCAATCAGTGGTTAAAGCAGTACTTCGCTGAATTGTATCAAACATGCCTCCTACTAAGCTGAATCTTAGTGCAAGTGAGTCTTGCATGGCATCAACTTCTTTATTGCTAGCACAACCCTCTTGAATACCAAGACGTTCCTGTATTAATAATACAATATATTATATTTTAATTAACGTTATTTAGTATTGTTTGGTCTTACCTCTTTCGATAATACCAAATATTGAGATAATTGATTATGTATAGAGGAAAGCAAATTTTCTCGTTGGTCATCTTGTCCTTTAAGACAGCTAAGTACTAATGATAAGAAAGGCTGATGATAAGCCAAAATAGCAGGTGGAGGAGGTACGGAATTAGTGTTTTGAGTTGGTCGAGGATGAGGTGGAGTACCTTTATTGCTACTCCTACTACTACTACCACCACCACTAACACCATGAGTAGTAATTGGAGTAACATTTCCAGAATTTGTACCACCCAATCCAATCATATTTCCACTTTCTAATACTTGACCTTAATTCAATAAAAATCAATTAAACATGAAGAAGAAACCTAAGAAATATTTATTTTAAATTTTATAATAATTGTAATTTTATTTTTACCGGCTACTTTCAGCACACGTCCTTGAACTGCACAAGGTAATTTAGAAATAAGAGGTGCTAATAACCACATTGAATGAGTTTTTTTAATATTTTCATTCCTAAAAAAATTGAAAATAAAATTACGATATTCAGTGAATTCAAAAATTAACCACAATAATTTAAATCTGGATAATTATTAAAATGTGTTAAAAATACTATAGTCCAGATTAACTCATATATTAACTATAAAAACTAAATATTCAATTTTTGTTAAAATAATTGTTATATAAATTCAAATTAGTACAAATGTAGTTACAACTGTACACATAGTTTGTAAATGTAGATGTTTACTGTTAAAAATTATATAGTATAGAAAATATTTAATAATAAAAATTACTTGTTCTGAATATTAGGATTATGTTGGAACATATCTATAGCTGCTTTAGCAACTATGTCTAGCCATTGATTTAAATCTGGAGAGTTAGGTGAAAATTGTTTGAACATAAGTTGCATTTCCAGCCAAGACATTCTAAGAGTCCATTGATCAGAATTCTAAAAATAATGAACAAAATAATTTAAATGGATTTCAGTAAAAAAAAAAAAAAATTTAATGGTGGTTGAAAAAAAATGAGCACCTCTAAAATATTAGTAATTATTGTCCTTGAATCTAGAGATATGTCAGATCCACTAGCTGTTTCAGGGTAACATATCATATGTAAAAGTCTTTGTGCCTATATATTGAATAATTAAATTACTTTTAATAAATTAAATACATACAATTTTTAAAAACATTATTTTTATACCTGTTTAGAGGATAGCATACTATCTAACAGCATATCCTGATGACATAGTTCTTCTGGATTTTGAAGACAACGTTCTAACACCCATTCTTGACTGCATATTTCTCTTAATACAAATTGTGCCAGCTCAGATAGGCCAGGAGCTTGAGTATCAGCATTTCCTAAGCTACAAATAATTTTAAAATTAAAATAAAACAAAAAAAAAAAAATTTATTATGTAATAATACCCTCCTAATTCCATAAGTAAATGATCAGCTGAACCTCCAAGAATATCTGATGTGCCTAATATATGGCTAATTGACAATTCACTAGGCATTTTACTAGTACCACCAGGTGTACTAACTTGACTGGAAGGTGATTTTTTTATAGATTGGTTTGGTCGTTGAGCTGTTGCATCACCAACTACAATAATAGCTTTTAATACAGCTAATAAGGGGCCAACTCGTATATTGTTATGAGCAGCAGCTAATAAATGTCTATCACAGCTTTGTTTAATACTACAACTAGAATTTGAATTTGATATAGGATTTGGTGATGTGCCTAATATAAATTTACATAAATAATAATTATTTTTAATAATATATTTCAAATCATATTATGACTTTAACTTACCAACTGAATAAAGACTAGGTTGAGGTACTTCAGTAGTCTTAAAAAGACGTAACAATAAGTGACAAGTCAATCTAGCCGATGCTTCAGCTTCAGGATCTGTATCAGCAGCTCCATGTCCTATTTAAAAAGAGAGCATACAAATATGATCTTATTTAAAATTAATAAAGATTCAACAAATATTCACCTTCATTACTGACTGTTAATAGAGAAGGTAAAGCTACATGTACTACAAAGTCTTCCAATGAAAAACAATGTCGAGCTGTAAAGAAGAAATATAGTATTCAACTAATGATTTCAACTTAAAATTTATTTTTATTTTGATATAACCTACATTGTATTTTTATTATATTTGATAAAATTAAATTTATACTAGTTTTATATGATAGATGTTTTTAACCAATAATAATGCATATTTCCTGTGATATTGCCATATCATAGTTGGTTTTATATAAGGGAATTAAATAATTTAACAATTTTTCAATTTTTGTCTAAATTTAATTTTGATCTCTAAAAACAGTTTTTTACGTTTCCTAACAGTTTTTATTTCATGGAGATATGGTCTTTTCAAAATGACTGATTCAATTATGATAATTAAAATCATGCAATTGTAATATTTTTTTCTTACTCTTTAATAAAGCTAAATTTTATGAAAAACTTACACATCAATTTTAATATAGCATATATTAACAATATAATATGAATTTGTTGCTTTAATTATATCTTAATAATTAAAAAATATCAGATTAATAATATAATAACATTCTCATATAAAATATGACTCGAGTTATACTCAAATTATTTAATACCAAACAACATGCTTTTACAATATATTTTTATTATAATACTTACCAACAAGAATTGATGTAAATAATGCTAATGAATTATGTACAGTAATATCATTCATGTCAACACGTGACAAAACCTCTCCAAAAATAATAGGATTATTAGAAGAACAACATAAAGCCATTAATACACCTAAAACACATATCACAAATAATTATTTACTAAATTAGTCAATTGAAATCATAATCAAAATAAAATAATAATTTATTAATGTTACCCAGCCACTCAGATGCTAATGAACTACAAGATGCTGTTAATTCTGCACTGAGTATAGCCAAATCATTTAACCGTTCAATATCTGATGTTTCGGTCGCAACAGCAATTACAACATTACATACTAAACTATATCGGTTACCTTGGGATTCATTTAATTGTCTATGCCAACCAGGATCAATTTTGCCTGTGTAATAATAACCATGATCCATTAAAAAAATAATTATTGTATGACAAAAATATGAAAAACACATACACCCTCTTCTGTAGGTCATTATTAAATCATTCATATAACTTGAGTTCCAATTCCCGTGTGTCATAGTAGATGGTTGAAGATTTGCATGAAGTGCTTGTCGTATTTTTAAGTATAAAGTATTAAAAGGTTCAGCTCCAGGTAAACGACCTTTTAAAAGAGGTGAAGCTGATATATATAAGTCATACAAGTGAGAAAGAACACAACGCTCAACACTTAAACATTCTGCAGGATTTGACACATGTTTGACAACACGATACAAATTTTCAAAAGCACCAATAACTTGTTCTTGATTTACTAAAAATATGTAAAATTAAATAATGTAAACAAATATTATAAATCGCCTATACTTACATAAAAGACAACAATGATATCTACGCAAGACTCCAACAATATAAAGTACTAATGATGTAGTGTAAATACGTACTAAAGATGATCCTTTAGCTGCTAATTGTGCTTCAACGTCTGGTATATCCATTAAAATCTAGATGTATACAAAAATATAAGTTAAAGAATAATTTAAATCAAAATAACATCCAAATTTTAAACATTGTGTATAAAAGTAAAATTGTATATATATATATTAATATTTACCTGAATACAGACATCTAGAAGTGTATTTACATTTAATGCTAATTCCATAAGATCGAATAAAAATGCTACATGTTCTTGAACCGGAAGATAGTTTGAATTTCCTATTTTCAATATCAACAATTAAATAGTTATTTATGTAACTATTCAATTTTAATAAAAAAAAAAAAACAATAATTACCGGTCGCAAATGCATTTATTGCTTCCAATACATTAAGACTGCACTGCCAAGTAACAACATGTTGATCAAAATATGATAAATTTTGTACACGGGAAGTAGTAGCTTCAAAATTGAATTCATTTCTTGAATGTTTTTTTACTTTCCCACCTATTTGCACATGAAATAATGTATTCGTAATAAATAAGAAAAACATTTATAATTTACCTTCCGCAATATCAATGCTAAACTTTTTACTAAATAATTTACAAATGTCTTTACTAATACGTTTAATAGTGTGCCTAGCATCATCTCGCATTTTACCAAAGCCATATAACAAAACATGTCTTTGATTACAATCATGACTAGTTGTTTCTTCATCCTAGTCATAAATTAAAATGTATGTACATATATTAGTTTAGGCAAAATGCATATATATTAAACATTTGATGAATTTATTACTAACCAATGGTAAAGGAAAATGTGTTGCATATAATAAGTGTCGAGATGGTCGGCATTTATAAATATTATCATTAGTGTTAGTAGATGGATCATTTGATTCTAATCCTCCAATAGAAGAACCAGCAAATGGTTCAACTTTTGGAGAATCTGGTGCATCCTAAAATTATTAAAAAAAATTGAATTTAAAATAGAAAATATTTGAATAAAAATAATATGTAATATTAAAAATAGTACCATTGAATTTTGTTGTTCTTCTTTAATATGCTGAAGCAACTTATCAAGATCATCATCTATTTTACTATCATCATAATCCATATGTCGATTATGGTGTTCCTTAATAAAATAAAATAATATTATTTCATTTGGATACTCAAAAGGTAATTAAAATATTTAAAGCCTTCAGGAATAATACAAAAACGTCACTTACTGGAACATTAGGTTTTAAATCAAAAAGATTATCATCATCCATATGAGTTGATGTTTGAGATGGTCCAGCACCTGAAGGTGTATCAGCTGGTTTATTACTTCCTGGTTGACATAACCCTAAAATATAGTAAATTTAAGTTAACTTTAAGTTGATTCAAATAATTAATTTTTAATTTAAATATTACCAATATTATTCGTTGATTGTAAATCTCCTCTTGATATTAAAGTGCACATATATGCATCATGTGAAAACACATCGTTTCGTATCAGTTCAGTAAATAAATGTACTAAATTTGTAAATGTTGTACGGCTGGTACTTGTATTTTCTAAAAAATATTATATTAGTACACAATATTTTAAGTTTTCAACAATATAGTTTATACCAAGTACTGGAGCATCATGATCAAGAAAGTTCATTAAAAGTGGTTGAAAAAGTGGAAGAGTAGCTGGTGTAGAAACAATTGAATCTTTATCTTCACTGGGGCCGCCAGGTACAACTTCAACAGAAGAATCACTTTCCCGACCAGTAATTTCAGCTTGACGTTTATCTAATAATCTAGCAACTGCCATTCCACGGTGTTCACCTCGCCTTAAACAACTTAGAGCCCACTCACATAAAACTTTCACAACAATCTGATCTTGTTCAATATTCTAAAGAAAAAATAATATTATCACAGTTATTCAATTTTTAAAATATAAAATAAATGACATTTACATATTCTGATCGATTATCTTTTGAAGTTTCATTTTCCGTAGACACAGAAATATTTCCAACAGAAATTAGTGGATTAGAGCTATCTTTAGAATTTGGTGGTAAAAAAATTTTATTATACAATGTATCTAGTGAATTGTTTTGATCAATTCGTTCAAAACTATGACGGTCTAATGCATCCAAAACATTTAAAATTTTTATTGTTTTTGCACCTAAACATAAAAAATATAATTGTTAACTAAATACTTAAGCCAATAACAAATGTCACTACAAAAATGTATTTCATTCAACAAACCAATTGATGATTTATGGAATTTATCTAAACACCATCTACCCTCAGCAGCTTGACTTCTAATTTTAACAATTTCTTCTGCTTGTTTAAGTTGTCTCCTGAGAAAAAAAAACACCATTAAAATGTTATACATAACATATAACAGCGGTTTTCAAATTAAACTTTTGCTTATGTATATTATAAAACAGACATGTACCATGGAACTATTAAAAATCTACAAATAACATAAAATTACAACTATATTTAAAATAACTGTTTTATTTATTTATAAAATATTGTAAATACAATATTTGTACTGATCAAAAGATCAGTAGGATTGAAGGAAGGATAATGATGCACACTAAAAATAATCAAGAATTAATTATTATTTTTAAAGTAATTAAAATGTTAAATTCCACTTATGTTTAAATATATTTTAATTATTTATATATTTAATTTCACAAGTACATAAAACAAACTAAATTATTATTAAAACCAGTTTTTTTGATAATCGATAACTAAAAATATTACAAACAGTTTATAATTGGGAATTAGTTATTATAAAATTTTCAGAAATACTAAGAATTTGGTTACCAAAAACCATAAAGTGATAAGTGGTAACTTGTATTAAACAATTATTGGATTCTGCTTGACACCATACTTTGTTAGTTGGAAGCAGTTTTAAGACGTATTTAAAAAATATATGTATAAATTCCCTTTGTCAACTATAAATTAATTTTTTACGTATCAACATTTGAGAACCACTAATAACAATAAAATAATAAAAATGAAGATTTTTCATTTTGTAAATGTTTATTAAATTACCTTAACAAAACATTATTTGTTCTTTGTGGCATTGGTAAAACTACGGGCGAACAAGGAAGATAATCTAAAGGTGATCCATTTAAAATTGAGGGTAGTTTACCACCTCCTAAATGATTCCAAGTTAAAGAAGTTGGACATTCTAACAAAATAATCTAAAAAAAAAAAATAATTATTAATAAAGGTAAATACTACAACTTTTTTGATAATTTACTTGAATTATACAGCTAAGAGGAAGTAAAATATCTCTATGATGAGGGCAATTCATCATATCATTCAAGGTTGATGCAGCATTAGTAGCACTAGAAGTATTGCTAAAATATATTTTTTATTAATATTTTAAAATAATTATTTTATGATCCAATATCCATTACCTTGGGACACTATTATTTGAAGCTCCTTTAGAAGTAGGACTTTGCGGTGGATTTAAATCCATTACTGAGTTACATATAGTATTTAATTTACGAGAACAAAAGTAAACTAATTTTCGACTTAAAAGTTCTGATTGACAAAATTCTGAACAATACTGTAAAGCTAAAGGACTTAGTACTTTTAATAAACCATCTTCACTATTAGATGATGATTTATAACGCTCAAGCATGTCTAAAATCCATTGGAGAACTTCTTGTCGTTCTAATAATCCTTCCTAAAATATATGAGTACATTAATAAATAACTACAATTTAAATATAATACCTACACTACATTACCTGATACATATACTTAATTAGACTAGTGCAATAATTCCATTGTTTAAGAGAAACTTTTTGCTCTTCACTCATAGACAAATAATGTGATGAACTCATAGACATATTAGCGTTCTGATAATAATCTTGAAGTTTAGTTAGTTGTTCTTTTGTAAATTTAAGTAATGTACTTGTCCATTCTAAATATATTATGATATTCCAATATTATAAATGTAAATTATATTATTAAGATAAATAAGTGATATACCAAGTGTAGGATCAGGGAGTTGACGTTTAGATTTTATCTTTGCTTCAGACACAGCAACAGTATAGGCGGAACTTAATTTTATAAACCATGTAGCACGAATTAGTGGAACATTATATTCACAGAGCAACATAAATATTTCTTCTTTTTTGTTAAAATTGGGAGCCTATAATATTTAAATAAATACATTTAAAATTTAATATTAAAAAATAACATAATAAATAATGATTACATTAAAATCTAAGAAATTAACAAAAACAAAATACAAATCTTAACTGATATAAAAAATAATTTCAATATTCCTTTATACTCAAAAAAAAAAAAAAAAAAAAAATCATGTATAATAAAACACAATAAAGTATGACAGGATAAAAATATATTTATATATATTTAATCTTATATAGTTTATGTGTAAATTATTAGAATAAATATATGCTAACAATTATTATAACTTAGGATAATAGCTATAATGTACTTATGTTCCAATAAACATTACATATTAAAACAAGAAAATAAAAAATAAACCAAAAAAACACTAGTTAAGTACTAGTAAAGTAATATTATATCTAGAACTAATTAAGTATATACTTGCCTTTTTTGACAGAATGTTTAATGGTTTAAATCCAGCTAAATCTTTAAACCATGCTTCAACAGTAGTTTTTGAACGAGCAGTAGCTGGCCAAAAATTGTCTTTAGGATTTATTTGTAACCTTTTTCGTCCGGTATCTATTAGTGTGTTAAGTTCTTCCTTTTTATTAATAATTGCATTGAAGAACGCTCCAATCTTTGATGCTGTAATATTATAATTACGAGCTGTTCCATGCTGATGTTCATCTGATATGGTCAAGGATGTTGTGAATCCGTGCTTTACATTAACTGTAGTCAATTCATCCTTACAACAAAATAATTTGATTAAAACCATTTTTCATTAATTATATAAAAATAAATGACATTTCTTACCTCTTTTTGTTTAGCTTCTTGAGGATAAACATCAGGTGGACCAAGACGTGGCCTTTTTAATGGACGCTTCTCATAAGAGAAACCCATCATTTATGTTTGATATCTCACAATATAATCATTGTATAAACCTTACTAAGTATTACTATATACTCTACTACAATTCAATTTTATATCACATACAATTAAAACAATTGCATTACCCTACATTGTTAACTGCTCTCATTAAATATTAGATTTACTAAACAATCAAACACATAATATTAAATAAATATTTTTCAAAAATTATAACACAAAATACATTCCATAAAAATCAAATTTTAATACATTTATACAGTAAAAATTGAAATAAAAAATTGTCTAATTTATTGTTTATGCTATTCTATTATTATTATGATAAGTACATATATTGATAAGTTTAGAAAGCTAAAAACAAGGTTGGCCAACGTAACATTTCATGGTTACAATATCATTATTCGAAGATAAAGCAAATTTAAAAACTAGTTTTAATGGTAGTTTTTAATTTATTTCAGTTCGGTTTTCACCGGTAGTTAATCTCAGGATAGTTCAACCTACGGTTCTCGAATCCTTTTTTTTGACCCTCCTCCATAACAGACTTTATTAAAAAAAAAAATTACAATATTAGTTTAACAAAATCGTTATATGATTGTGTATTTTTTGTGTTTTTTACTACAAAACGTAGGTATAGGTACGTACAATTAATATTTAAATTATTAAAAAAATAGTGACGTCCAAAACCATTACAGAATTCAGCTCACTACGTACGTATGTAGGTACTGTGTTTTTATAGCAGTCACAGTAATTCCGATTTTTTGTGTTAGGAGATCGTGGAATTCATTATTAGGCGGCGATTATTGACTGCAAGTTTTATTGGACATATACAATTGTTTGTTTTTTTTAGTGGCCCTTAGTGTTTTTATGAAACTGTAAATTGGCCCATTAATTACAAATTGTTGAACCATCTTGGTTTATCTCATCAAGGGTAAATCCAAATATTTTTCGCGAGATTAGATATATATATATACACAATTGAGATGTATGTATAGTAAATTGTAGCTTTAGGTCCAAATATTATTTTAAATATAAATTTTATAACAATTGAAAGTATAAAATAATATAATATTTCCGTATTAAAAATTAAAATTTACTAAATCAAGTTTCCGTTGTTTTTTACTTGGGGAATTTGTTTTCTATTATATTTTTTTCTTATATTATTCTCACTATCAACATTTAAATCCTTATGCAAGGACATCCATAATTAAAAATCCCGGAGGACAATTGAGTTCAGTGTCTCTCTGCCTTTCGGCGATCGCCATGGTTAGGTTTATAATTAGTATCTATGATTTGCATAATTCGTTCTATCGTGGTAAGGTATTGTCGATGAGAGATAAGTTAAGCCAACAAAATATATTTAATATAAATTAAAAATTATAATATTTCATATAAAAATGTATAATAGACGCGGAAAAAACGAGATATGTCCTTGCCCTTCCGCACATGGACGCCCTTGTCCTTATGGATATACATTAGAACCCACCCTATCAATCTTTCATCTCCCATTCTTTCCCTTAACCAAGTTTTAAGTAACATTAAAGAGAAAAAATTTCTTTCTGCTATTGCGACAGAAATTGGCAATGTAACTAACATTTTAAGAAATGATATATTGGACAGTAGTTTTGACTTTAAATCAAATGATTTAATGTTTCATGAACAAAATTTATATTTTTAAATTCAGAATTTACGAATAAAGAACAATTGAAAAGGTACTAAATTATTTAAAGGTTATAATAATAGTCTTATAAAAGATAATTTTCTATAACTATATTTATGTAGTTATAAATCAGTTATTATTTTCGATTTGATATTAATTACAAACATTGTGTAATAATATACGGAAATTGAGAAAATTAATTGCGAATGGTTTTTAATAAATAGTTGGAGACTAATTTTTGTTACTCCTGGGTGGACAAATCTTAAATTTATTGTTTATTCAAAGAGCGTTTATAATTTATAAATTGCATGAAACATATTTTTTCTTTTATGAGGCTATCAAACGTTTTTTATTTTTTATTTAAACGCTCCACCCAAGAATTATATGCAAATTCATAACAATATTTATACAATTTAATACATTTTAATGCCATACGAAATATATATATATATACATTTTAATAATCGATTTTCAATGATGACGTACAACGCTGTATTCAGATTTTCACAAATCGGCTCCACACATACATAATATTGGTATTTTTCGTTTCGAAAAATAAATTAGCAGCTTTAAGATCAACAAGTAATCAACAGAATATACACGATAATGAATGATAAGACGTGTTCCATAATACTATATACATACAAACGAATCAATATATTTTTTATAAATTACAGGGCGTGTAGACGTATATTATATTTATCTGAACAAAATGTTAATCGGGAATATGCGCAAGAAATCTTAAAAAAATGTATCGTAAACAAAGGAACGTAGAATGTGTTAAACTCGTACACCAGAAATTATTATGCATTAATTATGCACGGGCATTTTATAATGATTGAAGCTCGGCCGCGGCACAGAACTGCGCGGCCGGTTCTTGTTCGGCGACATCGCAATGTTGGCTTTCGATGCCGTGCACTTGCCGGTGCGACCGCATCAGGCGGTTGTTGCCGTACCGCTTGCCGCACACGTCACAGCGTATGGTGCGCCTGGTGCGCACCGGGCCGACACCGGCACCGCTTCCCGACTTGCACGCAACCACTTCGGACCAGATCTGCGCGCCGTGCGCTGCGTCCACGTGCCGCGCGAGCGACTGGACGTCGCCCGCGTAGCGGCCGCACACGCCGCACAACGCGGCTCTGGCGCCCGGGTGCTCTTTGGCCACGTGCTTGTCGAAGGCCGAGCGGTTGGGCGTCAGGCGGCCGCAGAGCTCGCACGTGTACGGCGCCCGTCCGTCGCTACACGCGTCGTGGTGCAACCGGTGCCCGACGCTCGCGCCCAACGACGAGAAGCGCCTGCCGCAGCCGGCCGCGGCGCACTGCAGCCTC